CATCAAAAATAATTCGCGATTTCCGATGGCAGAGGAGCCGGAATTTGCGTGGGAACGGCTGAGTAGGAGGTTGAGGGTAAAAGGGCAGCCAGTGTTGGGTTACCATTAATCGAAGCTTCAATTGGTTCTTTGCGCCGAGAAACAAGAAAGGACAAAAAATTTATAGGTTTTGGCTTCAAAGTTTAAAATCCACATCGCCAGACACAATTGGCCGTTCGAATCTCGTCGGGGTCTGCCATCTCGAATTTCTTGCCACTAATCTTTCCCGCAAGGGGGGCCCGATAGGCAAAAAGCTGGCCACGGCGGGCTGACTTGTGACGGCGAAGGCAATTTCAGATTTGAATCCTGCACTTATAGGGTATTTGTCTTGGAAAAAAGGAGGGACCTTAAAGACATCCTAATTTAAGATTTACGGACGCTGTACCACCTACTTGAAGAAAAAATATCATTATGCCGGAATTTGATAAGCATAATTTTCATTATATCGAAAGATTTGGGCAGTCTTTCTATAGGATCGACCCTGGTCGGAATTCGGCATAGCGAAATTTCGACCTGAGGAATCGACTTGCGTATTCGACTCGGCGTAATATTTCATATGCAACGTTGACAGTTTCATTGATTGATATGTTTAAATGACGGCTAGCATGGTAAGCCCAAAAAGGATTCAAAAATTAGATGAAAAATAGATCTAAATATCCGTTCTAAGGCGAAAACCTAAGGTGAGAGAAGCTGCCCGAGCACCTTTTATTGGCCATTTTGAATTGAGAGGGAGTTTGGAGAAGCGATGGAGGCCGAACCAAGCGAAACGGGCGCCGAAAACGAAATGGAATTGGTTGGAAGTAAATCAAAGAGAAAGCTCCTCGACCGAGAACACTGGCTGGACCAGGGGGGAACGCTTCAGAATTGTAGGCAGCAAGTATTTGCAGAGATATAGAGCTGAAGTTCAAAAAGCTATGATCTGTGTTACTTTGAGGGAGGGCTAGCTGAAAAAACGGAGGTCGAGTGGCCTTGCGCGCACGTCGTGGTTATTCCGTGGTGAATACCTAATGAATCCATTGAATCACTTTCCCTTTGACTTAACTGCTCCCTAATTTCAGAGTGGATTTGTGGGTTGCGTGACGTTGAGTTGGTGGATAATGCATAGTTGGTGTAAAGACATATGCACAAAAGTGGGTCTTTTGACGTTTTGCAGCTGGTTTTGAAAGATTTACTGACAAAAAACTGCTGTACAACTCCAAAACTAGTGCAAAATAAAGAGATCGCAACTAATTCTAGTAATTTAATAATGCTTTTTCAATGTAAAGTACACGGGAGAAAACACCAGTCTGATCAGTGCAGGCTACCGTAAGTGCGACAGTCAGGTCTTCTTCCCCGGGCTGAATGAATAAGCGAAGCGAAAAATAAAGTAATTACAGGGTCCTCCTGTTCTCTAGAGACCCGCGTTCCTCAAACGATGTCCGGCTTTTTCGCAGAGATATGCACCTTGCATTTGCATGCAGTTCCGCCGCTCCGCGCCGAACATAGGAAATGTTCGCACGGAATACCGAATGCCAGGGGAAGCTTTTGGTATGCGGTGGCAGGCTATGCAAGGGAGATAAAAGAATGCTGAAAGTCTATTTCTTGTGGACCGCGAAGATGTTTTATTTAATGTTTCCTTCAGGTGGTTTATTAAGAGTTCCCGGGTAAATTTAAAGGCTTGGAAAACTACAATCACAAAACTTGAAAGCAAAGAATCTCAGCGTTCACGAATCACCGCTAAAGCTCAAAAATGAATTCCAGCTTGGCGTTCGGGTGTATTTCCCTCCAGGTGGGCGGCGACCCGATAAAAATTCCTAATTTCCGCCGTGAATTTCCGTGGTCGCGTCAGAGAGGAAAATATTTTAGGCTAAACTACAGTGCTAGAGGAAGTCAAAATTAATTCCTCAAGGAGAAGTGTTGTATCGCTTAATGATTTGTTTTTTACAACATTTAACGTTGTATTGGAACCAGTTATGCCAAATTTAGAGCAACAGCCACACTATAGCACAGAATCTCCACTACATAGAAATTCTACTATACCAAAATTTGCACTAATTACCGTAACAAGCTTGATGTAGGGAGCAAACCTTGAAATGCATTTCTCTATTATAATGCATTTGATTGGCATCATAATTAATTCTTAAAAGAAGATTGAGCCTAATTCTTCCCATGATTTCCTTCCCAATAAATTTGCGATTTTAAATTTCCGCATAATCAATTTTAGTGTAAGGTCGACTAAATTCTCTTTTACTCTTTCTGCCGATTCTATTACCTTGCAATTCCTCGGTACCCCTATCACGCTAGTTGTAAATAATCCTCACATTGTATTGCTGTTGGTTTGTTGCCATTGCCTAATCCGCCGCGTCTCACTGTTCATTCCACACCCCATATTGTTGACCCGACGGATCGTAACGGATGCGCGGAGGTGTCGAGGGTCGGGTTGATCCGATCAACGCAACTTGGCACCTAATAATCCGTTGATGGTGGGTCTTCTGGATGTATGGGGGGGGTAGATCTCACAGTGGGAGGTGTGGTGATGGGTTTGGTATTGAGGAGGAGGGGCGATTATGGGGTTGAGATGACCTCCTCCCCGCCTCTTCTTCCTCGGCTTCGGATCACACGTTCTGTTTGCCAGGGGGAGGACGGGGGCGGGACCTCCACTACCACCACCACCACCCACCCCACAGCCATCTTCCAGCTCCACCCTTCTTCTGCATACTCCATATCCCCGAACCGACAGCTAGTCCTGGAAAATTTATCTGGATTAAATTATAATTATTGATTTTTCTAATTACGTGACACTTCTCGTCCTCCTTGAAAAATTGCATGGCTTCACTCATTGCATCTGTTTTTCTGTTCCATACTCCAGGTGTTATTTAGGTGCTTTTTTGCGTACCTAGTTTGACGGGTCACCTAAATTTAATACTAAAAACAGGAGACAAAAATTGTTTCCGGTTTTCCCAAAAAGCAAGCTTTCAATTAATTCTATTTCCTATTTCCCGGGTCGTACGGTATTTGTGCTAGCTATTTACCTCTCTCTCTCTCTCTCTCTCCTCTCTCTCTCTCTCTCTCTCTCTCTCTCTCTCTCTCTCTCTCTCTGTATTTTATCACGAACATTAAATTAAAACATAATCTACAGAATTTCACCTATCTTTCTTAGACAAAACTCATTTAATCTGGAAATTCGTTGTTTACCTATAACAATTTGTTGATCCCAAATTTTGATCGTGTAGCCAATTCTGTTGACCTGACTAGTTCTGGAATATTTTTCAGCTTCAACTCCTTTTCCACGCAACTACAAATTCAAAAAGCAAACCAACCCCCCCCCCCCCCCCGCCCCCCCAACACCATACCGCAAATCCCCTCTCTTTTCTAATTACCTCGCTCCCGTACTACATGTTCACGCTTGAAAAACTCCCTTTGGAGTGCCATTGAACTTCTATTTCCCCTAGTAGAAAACCTTCTAAATAATTGCCATTGCCGTGCTCATCGAGATGGAAACGAGGTTGGGACCCCTCCTCCCCGCCTCCGGCGATGGCAGGCCTCGACACTTTTTTTTGCCCGCGCCTTCCCACGTAATTAGAATCTGGAGCACGGGCTTAATCGGTTGGAATGTTGCATTTGGTTCCTTTACTATTTCTATTTGCTGGCTGGCGATAGGGTTTACTTTTTACCTGATTTTTTTTCAGCATCGTACCATGAGGGTTGCTCTAACATTACTTGCGACGTTGTTTTTAGGAGCAGGCGGTGAGTAATTGAGTAATTTCAATTTTGAGTGGCCGTCTTTACCGTAATAATCCTCGAAACTATCGAAGGAGGCAATCCTTTGAACACTACCGTTGGTCAGTGCGCACTTGTCCCGATGAGTGCGCCAAACACACGAAACGCTAATTCATGCGCTTTTGCGCATTCCGCCCCGGGGCCCCTGGTTCCCCCCGATCTCCAGACCACCAACATTTCACCCGAATACCCCCGCCGAAACTTCCATGTTCAAAGCCGCTGAAGGGTAATCGCTCAAAAACACATTGCTGACCCTGGGGACCCCTTTACTCCCCCTTCAAAAAAACTTTTCGGGACGTTCACAAGCGCGGCTTAGGGGGCCGGGGTCTATTTGGGAGAAGCCGGGGGATGCCATCGGGTTTTCTAGAGTTCTTGTTGACCAAGTGACTCTACCTCTGCAACCCACGCGATTATCACCCCGGTCGGTCAGTCCAAGCGATGGAAAACCTAGGACGGTACAGGGGAATTGATTGAAAGTCGGTGTCTGTCGAAATTAGGGCGTTACGAATTCGGAATTTCTTGGCTTTGGAATTTTGTGCTCAGAATTAAGCTCCAGCGTATTCTGAAGCGTTTAGTGCAGAATCAAAACATTGTTTTTCACAACTAGTTAAACGGAGTGAAACTTGCGCCGCAAAGTTCGTGAAACCGGAATTAGCCCATTTTTTCGGCCTTCGAAACATGGGGCAACACTCTTTTGATGGCCCTTACAGTCAAGTGAACCCCCGGTCTCCAAGAAAACTTTGCAAGTGCAAGTTTACCCTCCCCAAAACGCGATCATCTTCAGTTCGTCCCATTTCAAAAACGGGCCCGGGGGCTCGGAATCGAATTGCCGAAAGCTCTCTCCTGGGGGAGGAAGAGATGTTGGTGGGGGCATTCGGGGGGTTATACTTGAGCCATAAGGGCCACACCCTTCTGCCTTTTTTGGGCAAACGACGGGAGTCGGAGCCCCCCAAGCCACTTCAGCCGGTGGGTGACAGTCGGTGGTGGTTGTGGTAGCGTGTGTCTGTCAGGGGGACCCAGGTTATTGACCGTATTATATTTTGTGTCCATGGCAAGAACGAGCCATTTGGTCTGAGTCAATCGCTTAGGCTGGCTGGGGGGTGACGAGATGAGGAGGGGGGCCCCAGCTGCCGTTAGGCTAATAAAGTCTTGGCGCAATTTTGGGCTTAAGTAACACCCCCGCCCTGAGGGTATAATGGGCCATGACAGACGGTTAGTGGGGGGATCAAGTGTTGACAAAACAATCGGGGTCGAGACAAACAAGGAGAGATCCGTTTTATTCAGCCTGGAAGCTCCACATCACACCAAATGGCGATCGGTTGGAGAACCAGAAGTCTGGCGACAATTTCTTGGTTGTTTGCCAAGTACAAGAATATGATGGGCCCGCAAGCGATGTGAAAATTGATTGGTATAGGAAAGGAACGAAGATTCAATTCGGAAGGTATGAAATGGACTATAATAAATGTATATAATTCATTTTCAGGATTATGACCGTCGGGAAACCAAACGCCAGCCAGTTGATGATTATCAACGCCAAGAAGGACGATTCCGACGATTTCGTCTGCAAGGCCGAGATCGCTGGGGAGACCCAAGAGACCTCAGCCAAGATCAACTTCATCCGTAAGTTTTTGTTATATGGTTTTGTCCATCCATTATTGTCACCATGACCCGATACGTCAATAGGATCGGTGGTGCAACTTTTTGTGGGTGAACCCCCACTACACAGACACATTGTCTCTCGCTCCACAAATTTTTTTCTGACTCAACGCCGGAACGGCGCGCTCAGGCATAAGGGAAGATGTGCCGTTGTCTCTATTTGTTTTTGGGGGAGACCCTGCGGCCTGTAGCGCTGAGTGACCTCGGTCCGGTGGGGGGTTGGCTAGCCCCGTTGGTCACTAGGTGTCGATAGTTGCCGAGGCTTGGGTACTCAGGCGGAAAAGAGGGGGGGTAGGCATCAGTGCTCAATTTAGACGTCTGAATCTTCGGTAAAGAACGAGAAAAGTATCAAAAAATTAGGGTAATGAATATTTGAAGCTGTCCTTGCAGTACTTAATTCCAGGATTTGTAGCAAAAGAAAAGTCGTATTGAAAAGCAACAGGTAGCTTCAAAAATGAAATTTACTAATTTAACTTAAGTACTGAAAACAAATTGACCTGGCGTCTGATATCCCGATTTACAAATTAGGCACTACTGCGGGTTACTTCCAAACCTACAACAACCATGATCGTCCAGCAAAAATAAAATCCTCCTCTTTCAGAAGCACCAAAGTTCGTCGATGCCCGCCTCGAGCAACACCCCGAAGAAGGAAAAGCCGCCGAAATTGTCTGCCGCGTCACCGGCGAACCCCAAATGGAAGTCTTCTGGCAGTTCAACGGCAACACCCTCGATGAATGTGAGTTGCATGGCGCATCACCCGGAAATAAGGGATCGGCTCTCGAAAAATTCGTTATCCTGCGCCTCGAGAGCGGCTTCCAGGTGCGCGTCCAGCCGTGGGACAGCGCGAGATTTTTGTGAATTTGGCTCTCTCTGGGCCCGCAAGAAGCGTCGTCTCTTCTCTAGGGGGCCGTATCATGTTCGTGTTTGTTTGGGGGGTTGAAGCCTTATCCTTAGGGACCATGGGGCAGGCCTGGGCCGCCGGCAGTCCGCATCTCGGCCATCTCGCACATATCTTACGCCAAGAGCGGGAGAGGGGCTAGAGCAATGGCTAATGGGGCCCAAATACGGGCACTAGTGGATTTGAGGGGGGAGGGTGGTTGTTTGTATAGATTTGGGCAGACGTTCTTTTAAGTGGTGTTAGGGAGGGGGAGATTGGAGGAGGATGAGGTTTAGAAGCCTCCGTCCTTCCTTCAGGGGGTTTGCGATACCATCGGTTATCTTTGCAATACAGGAATTTTTCAAATTTTTTTGATAGATTTGGGAACACGTTTTTTTGAGTGAAATTAGGGGAGGAAAAGAGGAGGATGGGTTTTGGAAGCATCTTCGAGTAAAAAGCTTTTTAAATATCATTAATTTCCTTTGATTATTTAAACTTTTTCCAATAAAAAGCCGAAACCCGCTGCTGCGCTTGCCATTGATAAGATCAAAGGACAACTCTATTTGCATTCACCACCCTAATTAGGTGATTAACCCTCTAGCCGGTGCCGCGCGGGTTTTTTATAGCCCGATACTTTTAATTGCAACAGATAAGCGCAACCCTTTTTATGCAAATACTCAATTAGCCATCAGAACCATTATAAACTGGGCTGGAAAACGCGATTTGCATACGCTTCTGGCATCCCAAATTTGGTTCCCAGCCCTAAATCAGAAAAGGCCGCAGGCTGGAAGCATGTGTAGCACATGGTCTGATCCCTTCCACCTCCCGGATAGGCCGTTCATTTAGAGGATTTGGTGGTGGATGGGTGGAGGGTCGGCCGATTACGACAATTGGGGCGTTGATTGGCGGTCTCTTTCAACCTCATCTCGATCAAGGGGGCCTATACCCGCAACCCCGCTCTCGAACATGGGCCACAGAAAAATATCCCCCTCCCTATGCACTAGCCTCTGGCCCCCATTCTGAACGGTTTTCGGATTAGCACCATCTGCCCCTTGCTACTTGCAACTGTGGGGGAGGGGACTCTTGGTTAAGCGGGGGGTTGTGGTGGGGTGCCGGATATTTGAGCCGTACCCTTCGGGGTAAAGGGATTTATTACCAGCCCCATCAACATTAGGCGATCATTATCCGGTGGCGGGTATGATTGTTGTGGGTAGGTTTGGGACGGAAATGAATTAATTTATTATAAGCTAGTAAGATAGGATCTACTCCCGTTATAGCCTATATACCGTATTTTTTTTAATAATTGTACGATCTCAAAGAAAATGTGGTTTTAGATTTTTGAAGTAGGAAAAATGACAAAATTAGATGACTATGCTGATTTTTGTGTTACCACATAGCGTTCCACTTCTAATCGGCTTAAAAACTCATCATCATCAAGCAAAGCTAAAACAGCAGCGTTTTTTGCATTTTCGGATTTTCACAAAAATAACATGTGGATATATTTTAGAAAATAGAACAATTTTTTTACGTTCTCACTGGAGCTAGCCTTCCACCTCCCAATTTCCATCCAACCACTAAAAATTCCGACCCAAAATCACGCATTCGGCCAACCCGCCGGACCTCTCTCCCCCCGCTTCTCCTATTAGTTATGGGCTGCATCGTCTTTGTTTTACTCCCCGCGCCGCCGACGGCCAGTCCGCGCTTCGAGTTGACATGCTGACAGCTAGAAATTGAGCAGCGAGCCCAGCCCTCCTGGACCTCCAAGAATCAGCCATTACGGCCACGGCCCCCACCCCAACTGCTTGCTTGCATCTGCGTGGAAAAAATAGAGAAGCCCTTCCGTATTCCTGGATGGCGGGGCGGAATTCTTTGTCGGTGGTCCGCAAGGAGGGGGCTTGCCGTCATCCTAGCCGGGGGGTGCGAGGCTTATTGTTAGGCGGTTATTGTGGATCCAGAAGGAAGCTGCTTGCGGTGTATGCGTGTGTGTGTGGTCTTTCTGTCTGTGGGTGAGCTGACCCCGGGGCCGAGCTTATGCAAATGTGGGCTGGCATTGTGTGGCAGCGCCTTCGGGGGCGACGACGGGCTAACACAGATTGGAGGAGAAAGATGGATGAATAACGAGATATTAATGGAAAATTTGAAAATGGGCTGAAAAACGGTATTAATGTATTAAATTTGTATTTTAGCATCTCCTCGTGGCTACGAATTCAAGGAAAACAATCAGATCCTTGTAATTCCTAACTACGACTCGAAGAAGGATGACGGTCATTACCTTTGCAATGCTGCCCAATTCAGCTCTTTCGAAACATTGACTATTAATGTGTCTGGATACTGTAGGTGTTTATCTTTTTTTAGTAATTAGAATTATGCTCTGGTAAGAAAATATTTTTGACTATTTCAGCCCGCCCAATCATCACAGTTTTCGACGGCCCAACCAACAACCGAGGTTTCGAAGGCCACTCCGTTCAATTCAAATGTGGTGCTATCGGCAAACCAATGCCCACCTACAAATGGTTCCGCGGCGAGGTATGTAGATTTCTCGCTACTTTATTAGCCCACATCAGCTTCCCCCCGGGTGCCATCATATCTCTAACCCCCGGCATCGCCCATAAAATGTGAGAATTTCGTAGCCCAGCCACCCACAACGTTCACCAACTCTATTGTGGCCGAAGCCCCCGGGAAATTAGTCATTCCACTTGAATTTTGGGCTCTTTGGGAGCCCAAGCATCAGCCTGTGGATTTGAAATCAAACTCGTCCGCCTAGCTGCCCTTGGGGGGTCGGCTAATGCCCGCACCACGAAATTTGACGTAATTCGAGTTGGCGGGCTAGTGTGGTCTCTTGCATAATTCGTGGTGGCTTAGAATTGAGAGAAGAGGGGAAGGTGGGGGCAATTCGTGGTGCACTTCATTCTTCACCCTGGCTTAGTTATTCGCTTCTAGTGGAATGCCAAAACGAGTGGAGGGGGTTTAAGATGCAGTGGTTGGTTTTGTTTGGAATCTAGGACGGGGAAGGGTGGATAGAGTCCTTTTTACGTTCCGACGGTCAGGATGGGGCGCCAAGTAAAGTAGGTGCCCAGACATATGTTCAAGCTTGACCAGAGATGTGTGCCAATCCTAAACGGGGCTAACCGTTCATCCACACACCTCATTCAGGAAGGGTCGCCTTGTTGGTGGACAGTGTTGGTTTCTTTTGGCTTTCTCATTCCGGGACACGCGACACATCAAGCGCACCTAGGCGTGAAATCGGCCGTCTTTTCTTTTCGCCTTGGGGCTAGTAGAGCCCGATACACAAATGCATACACACCCACTAGGGCCGAGTGACTTTTGGAAATTTGTGGCTAGTAGTGAAGCTTGGAGGATGGGAATTGGAGCCTTAGAAATCCGGAGTGCTACCATACAGAACCGAAAAAATGTATTTCACGATTAGTGTATTAATAAAAAACCCTCGGAACCGCAAAAAGTGTGATTTCGTGTTCTTTTTAGATTTGATATCTTAATGCTAGTTCTTTGTCACAAAAACAGGATAAAAAATCTTGATTATGTGACGTTCACAAATTAATTGGCGTTTTCCTACTGAGTTTTTGATAAATTTGAATATCCACGAATTTGAAATAACGTAAGATTTTCTTATTACGAAGATTTCAGACTTGAAGTTTTGTGCTCACCTTTTTTAGGGCTTTCAGAGCGTTCCCCGGTACGGTAGAAGGGGATTTTTGGCTCACCCTTTACAATGCATCAAATCGTTTCCTCACCCAAGAAATGATTACATATGGCTGATCGTTCACTAGCAACCCTTCCTTCCCTCTCTCCATCTCCCTCTCCTTCCCCCCCAAAATGGCTCATCAACATGTTATGCAACGCGTCGGGGGCACCTGTCCACGCACGAAAGCCATGCTCACGCAATCGCGGCCCAAACGGGTAGGCGATAAGGCCTCTCGCCTTCCCAGCACCCATCTGTTAGGGTCGATCCAAGAAGGGTAGCGGGGTGCTGAAGGCCGACTAACACAATGCCCTTCTTCGGGATCACCGGGGAGGGTCAAGATCTTTTTTTTTTTTGCTTTGAGGGTGGGTCCGGTAGAACAAGGGCACTTGGCCTTCATTTAATCTAATGGGCAAGGGTGGGTGGTTAGGAGGGGAGCAACTGGTTTTTTGGGGATGACCGAAATAATCTCTGCTAGGCTGCCTTCTGACAGAGCTCAAATCTAATTTAAGACCAAGGTTGAGGTCTGAATTTTAAATATCGATACTGAACAGGATAAATGGAACCTTTTGAGATGAAAAGCCGAGATTCGAAAATTCCGTTTTCATTTCTTCCCATTTTCGAGAAGATTGTCGATATTCGGACAAACTCCCTCCCATGCCCCCATACAAAACCAACCCATCTGCCCTACACTATTCAGCTTCCAGATTTAAAGCTTCCCCCCAATTGAATACGTAGCCTAATGACCCAGCATAACCACAACCCTCACAGCCCAAACCCATAAACCACGGGTTGTTGTTGGCGCGCTTTGTCCGGGGAGGCCCAACTTGAAGCGCCAGGTCTTCCATTCGGTACGGGCCACCTGCCCCGAGCGCTCGGATATGCAAATTGCGATGTCCCCCGCCGAGAATGAGGGATGGGGGGATGAGGGATCGGAGGGTAGACAATGGCCACCGTTCCATCCGAGATCCCGGTCGATGCACAAGGAGGGCAGTCGACTGTGAAATCTGTTGCTGCTGGGGGTCGTCCTCCAATTGGGGGGCAGATCAACTAATAATCACAAATAGGCATCCCATGAGGGGGTAGAGGGCTGTGTAGGGTATTTTTAGCTCCAAAATTTTTTATGTAAATTGGAGCCTGGAGCATACGTAGAAAATCTTACTATAGTATATAAAAATTCGATTCTAACTCTAAGTTCTAAATTTCAGAAAATAGAAATTTGAATCAGTGTCCAATCGCAAATGGACATCGTATGAGGAGTGGAGGATTTGGGCGAGTATTTATGTATTTATGTTTAGTTATGTAAACCAGGCCTATTTATCAGGAAATTTCCAGGCGTTCTGTCAAAACATAAATGTCCTCTTTGCCTTCCAAATACCGCCTGCTCCATTTTTCCATCCATCCCGCAAAAAGCCGTCCTGAAGCACGTCAGCAAAATGCTTTTCCACCATCCAGACACGACGTTTTGCAAATAATCTCCATCACGTTCCACCAGACCTCCTTGGCGAAATTTGAGCCCCTCGGGCCGACGCGGGGCACAGACGTTTTTAAAAGCCCCTCCCAATTAAGGGCCTCTCCTGCGGAAGCCCCTTAACCCCCCGGGTCAGCGCCACAAGTGGTATAGGTTGGTCCGGCAGAGGACAGTGCCTAAAATTGGGAGTTATAGGCGATAAGATCTAGGACCCGGGTCTTCAGCTCAATTGTATGGTGCACGGTGTTGCAGCAGGGGGGCCAGCCTGTGGACTGCATAATTACCGGCAGGGCCGCTCGTTTGATGTTCTTTCGGGTTAGGTGCGGACGGTAGGGGCCCTGTACAATTAGGGCAATTCTTGGGGTGGGTTATTGGGTGCGGGGACCGTTCCAGCTGTTTTCCGGGGACAATATGACACCCCATATTGTCCGGTGGGCACCTGGGCCCTTCCGCATTTGGGCTGTAGCGGACTGAGGAGGGGGCCCAAGTGGAGGGGCACCACCTGTACACTTGGGTAGTTTGAGAGATACTCGTTTTTGAGTAAATATTTGGCACAAAATGATTTTAGGGAGGGTGACTTTCGGTATTTGTTATCTCAAGGGAAGAATAAATCAAAAAACGAGTTTCAGACTAATGACGAAATCGTCAAATCCGACATCCACTCCGTCGAAGATGGACTTCTTGTCATCCATTCTCTAAATGGCGGTGACAACGGAGATTACCGGTGCGAAGCCACAAATGCCATAGGAAGTGACGCCAAGACTGCTACCCTCTCTGTCTACTGTAATTTACCATTCATCTCCCAAATACAACCTATTTTAGTGAGGCCTAAAGTCGAACGTGTTGCCAACCACACCAAGGAATCCGGCGAAAGCGTCGAAATCGTCTGCCGATATGCTGGAGAAGGCAACCTGAAAGCCAAATTCATCCATGGGGACCAGACATACAAGGTATACCTAGATACTCATTTCCAAGCACCATTTTATATCTCTGCTGTCGTTGTGTTTTAGCACGATTCACAACTATTTAGCATTTCTTGCTTAGCCTTCTTTTTGGACTTTCCTTTCTTATAGGTCGCCTCTGAGGAGGAAGAGACTGAGGAAAAGCTTATGGATGAGGAGGATGAGGCCGAGACTGAGGAGGCTGAGCATGAGCCTGAGAACCTAGCGGCCCCTGAGAATGAAGCTACCAACGAGGAAGAAGAGGATGATGAGAAGGAAGAGAAAACCGAAGAAGCGGTTTGTTTTGTCGTCATTTCCTTGTGTATTTGCACGTTTAGTTTATTTCATTTTTAGTTCGGTTTTGTAATGTTGAGTTTTCGGATTGATTTTTGAAATTAGCTATTATTATATAGGAGGATAATAAGGAAGATGAGGAGAAAAAGGAGGATGAAGACGAGGGGAACAACGAAGAGGGTGATGATAAAGAGCAGGACAAGGAAGAAGACGAAGATGAGAAAGCTGAAGACGAGATGCCTGACGTTAGCGAGGCTGATCATGAAAACCAAGATCAAGAGAATGATCATGACGATGAAGCCGGTGCTGAAAACAAGGAAGACGAAGAAGACGTTACGCCAAAACCAGGCCATCATGAAGATGAGACTCCAGAGGAAAACGATAACGATGATGGCGATAATACCAATGACGATGAGCACGAGCAAAAAGAAGAGCATGACGACCGTGCCCATGATGATTCCGGACATCCAATCGCTATGGATGAAGACGTGACCGACGAGGAAAATGGCCACCTAATTGATGTGGGCCAGCGTGTCGACCCCCAAAATACCCCAACTCCTCCACTTTCTCTCCCTGACCAAGACTTTCCAAAATACTTACACCCCTGAGTTCAAACTGATCCACTTACAATGAGTTGTGTGTTGAGATCCGATTATTTACCTATGGTCATATTTTCAGGCTGGAGATCTTGCTCGCTGGAAGCGTGATGTGCAAACCGGAAGGGTTTCGATCCAAGATGATGGCAAACAAATTACCCTGTCGATCCGGGATGTTTCTTTAAACGATGCTGGTCTTTACCAATGCGTTGTTGAGAACGAGGCCGGGCCTATCACACGCAACAGCATTTTGGCTATTACCCGTAAGCTTACAACGCGCAATAGATCATGCTCAATTTTTAAGATGCTCCTATCATCAAGAAGCACTCCCGTGAAACCATCCGTACATTTGATGACAATGAAGTCGAGCTCTTCTGCGAAGGCAAGGCTGTCCCTGAGCCGAACTGGACCTGGGAGATCAATGGAGATGAGGCAATATCTGACTAAAATTAATGTTTAAACGCGGAAACTTTAGGTTGAAGCCGACGGCGTCCTTGTTCGTATTAACAACACCGCTACCCGAAGTGCTGTGATCATGCGTATGGCCAAGGGTCGATACGGTACCTACACTTGCCGCGCTTCAAACGGCGTTGGCGAACCCGCGACAAAGCAATTCAATGTTATTGAAGTTGGTATGTTTTTTTCCCTTAAGTGTTTGGTATAGCAACTTATTCCAGTGGTTCCGGCTGTACCCTCGGAGCTCAGTTGCCAAGAGCATGTCTACCCTAACTATGCTGCTTGCTCTCTATCCGCGGAACAGTATGCTGACGAGAAGTCGAAGCCATCAGAGGTGGGTTTTGGGAGTTTTGTTAAGAGTACGCTGACCAAAAATTGCAGGTTGAATTCGCATATGCCCCATCCGATGATGTTGAGTCCGACTTCGACTGGGAGAAAGACTCGGTCCGTCAACGCGTGAACTACACCGAGAAGATGAGGATCACCGGCCTCAAGCCGAACTCAGCCTACATCATCCGTGCTCGTGCCATCAACGAAGCTGGAGCCAGTGATATGGGAGTTCAGGGAACAATCGAAACTACGGACCCATGGGGTGAGCTCTAAATCGCATAGCATTGATTTTGGTTTTAGCCCCCGAGAAGCCTGAGAGCATCACTGTCAACTGTGATACTAGCTGCACTATCGGATGGCTGGAGCCAAATGATCATGGAGCTGAATTGAGCGGGTACAAGATTGTCGTCCGCGAATTCGAAGATAATGTTGAGACCACTGAAGTGAGTTGCCTTCAAAAAGTCTATTATCTAGCAGTACGATTTTGCAACACCCATAATTTCAGCGCGAATACGTCGGGTCTAACCTGGAGATTGATGTTGCTGCTTCGGATGAAGCCGTCGAGCTGACGCAGCTGAAGCCAAACACCAAATACGAGATTTCCGTTGTGGCCGAGAACTCTATCGGCGAATCGCAGCCGTTGATTTCTGTCTTCGAAACCCCGGAAACGGTTGTTCCGGTGCTCAGCAGCGGATTTACAAACTTCCACATTATGATCATCGTCGGCGTTGTGCTGCTCGTTCTGTTCTTGGTAGGCTTTTTCCCAACACCATCATCGTAATGGTTTTGCAGCTTGTCGATCTAATCTGCTACGGTACCAACCGATGCGGACTTATCGCCTGCATTTGCGTCAACTGCTGTGGCAAGAACCCTGATCGGTCGAAGGATAAGGACCTCGAGTCGGGCCGGTAGGTTTTTTGTAAATATTGTTAACATATATTTTGCTACCTATAGCAATTCAGTTGAATCCTGGTAGTATGGTAAGGGACCAATACTGTGAACTCCAAAATCCCATGTTTAAAAACTCGGCTTCTGTTTTTGGGCATGCAAGGCTCGAAGCATGCGCAATTTCCAAGACCCACAGAGTTTGAGCCTTCGCGCCCAAAATTCAGAATCCAGTCATTTCGTTGTGCCATTCCAACCCACGTCCAAATTATCTATTTACCAATTCACAACTTGGCCATTTCAGACCTGAATCGAACCGACTGCTCTCCGATTCGAGGTAAATCCGGCGTGCCAATCCGGCAAGCCCACATCTGTCGCTTCTGCACGACCCTTCTACTATTCCAGTGGCGAGCCGTGACCTATATTCATACCCTCAAATCAAAAATCAATCCCCATTCTTCCACTTCCCAGCTGGAACGTTTCTATTCGTTGCATCTTGACACTATCTCCCGGCATGGCTCAACGCTTTTCATTGAGCATCAGCCGGTGAGTGGAAGTCATGGAAACATGTTAGGCGGGGGCTCGCTTCGCAACACGAATTGCTTTTGGCTTGTAAAGAAGCGGCTTTGCTTAGATTTTTGGAATTTGGTATCCACTAAATCTCAACTTCAAATTAATGCGTTTGGCAAGGCTAATGTTAAACTGTCAACAAAACTGTCTTGGCAATAACTATCTTAAATTAATGAAGACTAAATTAATAGTTAATTAAGTTTCGAAAACGTTGCATTTAAAACACAATAGTTGCCGTGGCCTGTCAGAACCATTCCATTTCAGCGATCGTCTCAAGTCTCCGCTCGTCTCCGCTGTGTAGCCGTTGCTCACCGTACCATCCATTTCTTCCCAATATTGAGCAGGGATCTTTCATTACATATATTGCTTTATCAAACCCTTCCTCATGTTTATCAGTTTGAATTTCTACCCGCCTGAATTTCTGGTTGTGTCATTTCCATTGAAACGTGATCCGCCTGCCGACCACCCTATCCTTTCTATTTCACTTATTTCCCTTTTTTCTATCATTTTAGGCCTACTTAATCCGCGGCTTATGTACGCACACCACGCAAACAACTAACTTTTTGGGACCCTTGCGGTCCAGCTGCATCGGGTAAATTGAACGATTTTTGCATTGAATTTGTTGCAATGTGTCCTTTTGGGGGCGATATGAAATGCAATAAAGACATTATAAACGTAATGATTTATATAAATAGCACCTTATATACAGAAAAACGTGATAGTTAGGGTTGGCGCTTAGCGGCGACGGCAGCACTGGGTGCCCTGGTTGCACGGGGCGTATCCCTGCTGGCATTGGCAAGATTGCTGGGCGGGTTGCTGCTGTTGGGTCTGGAAGGGAATGGTATAAATTGAAAAGGATACGATATAGAAAGCGACAGTCGAAGGAGTGAACTGAAGCGCATAGAATTCGAGTCCGATCCCGCTGTATAATCCCCCAAAGATAATCAAGTAGTTACCACCGTAAGATAGCTGATCTGGGTGGCCTGTTGGCACGAGGTGACGGTCGGCTGGCAGGTGGAGGTGCAGCTCTGCTGGCAGGCTGGCTGGCACTGCTGGTACTGCTGACCGGCGGCGGTGCACTGCGACTGACAGGCGTTCTCGCACTGGGGCATGCACTGGGTAGACTGGTCGATGCGGACCTTGACCTAAGAAATACAGACATTTATAGGTGCTCGTGGTTAAGTGTACCTGAATGATCTGTGGGGCCTGGGTGGTGGTAGTGGTGGTGGTGGTAGGGGCGCACTGCTGCTGGCAGCTCTGCTGGCAGGCTCCGCACTGGGTTGGGACCTGCTGGCACACAGGCTGGCATTGTTGCTGGCACTGCTGCGGGGCGCAAGATGGAGCAGGGGTGGTGGCGGCTGGCTGGCAGACGGCCATGCATCCGGATTGGCACGAGGAGCACTGGGCTGGCTGGGAGTCGCACACTGGCTGGCATTGCTGCTGGCAGATCGGGGCGCACTGGGAGACGGAGAGGCTGATCAGGATTGGGGCCATGGTGGTGGTGGTGGGCTCGTTGCAGCAGGTCTGCTCGCAAGCCTGGCACTGAGATGGGGTCTCCATGCACATCTAAAAGTATCAATACCGTGATTTGTTGTGACTGGATCCTTACCTTGAAGCAAGCCTTCATGCAGGTCGGGGCGCACTGTGGGGCAGCGGTGGTGGTGGTGGTAGTGGTGGTGGCGGCAGGCTGGCAGAGGGCCACTTGGCAAGTGTTCTGGCAAGACTGGCACTGAGATGGCTGCTGCTGGCACACAGGCTGGCAAGTTTGCTGACAATCGCAGCTAGGGTAGCTCGGGGCGGGGGTCGTGGTCGGGGACTAAAGATTAAGAGTTGAGTCCTCCTAGTTGGCCGGGTTACCTGGCAGACGGGGGCGCAGGTCTGCTGGCACTGGGGCTCGCACTGCTGGTACTGGAGGACAGTCAAGCAGGAGGAGACACATTGGGATTGGCAGGACTGGCAGGAGACAGGGGCCTGTAGAAGGTAGTAGTAAGGGATATAGGAAAAGAGCTCTACGGGTGTCGTCTGCATCACTGGCTGGCATGCACACGGGGCGGCGGTGGTGGCGATGGCGGTCACTTGTTGGCACTTGCAAGATGGGGTTGTGGGTTGGCATTGGCATTGGTCGTTGGCAACGATGGCCTGGCATCCGCATGAGGATTGGCGACGGCCACGGACCTAAAATTGAAGATAAGATGAGAAAGACGAAAGCTAAGTTGAAACATCTTGTAGTCGGTTCCCAGATGGTCTACGGGTGTTCAAAGATTCTTTCAGCTGAATTTTGAAGGTACGACAATTGCAAGCATAGCCCAGAGTGCAAGCCAGAGAGTAGACACTACTTATAAAGAAAGAGACAATCAAAGGGGAAATCAAAATTCACCTCATTAGCCGAAACCAAGGCGATGGCGAGAAGTGCGAAACCAAGTCGTAGAAGCATGATGCTCGTATTTGTTCGGATCGTAGGTAAGGATCGAGAGTGTAGAAGGGGATCTGCAGTCGTTGGTGCTGTCGGTGGCACCCTAGTCGGCTTATATATGCCGCGGCAGGCGGACGCGCAAACGGCATGGGGTGGGGCGGCAAAAAGCCGAAGGGCGGGAGAGGTGGGACGTGTTTGTTAGATTGTCGCTAGTCGATGTGTTTGACAAGACAAGAGGTCGCCCCGGGGATGAGGGGGCACTGATTACAGGGAGGGGGGATGATTGTTTAGTGAACCTGGTCTCTCCAATTCTGTGGTAGAAGAGGTGTGAACGGTGCCGGTCGTCTGCACTGTAATGGAGGTTGAGAGTCGGGGTGGTTGGGCAGGATGAGGGCACTATTGTAGAGGCGAGGTTTGGTTGCTAGTCTAGTAGATGAGCCGTTACTTGTTCAGGCAGATCCAAATAACGCTGTTGCTTGTCAAGGGTAAACTATTAGGGGTAGGTCGTCTGGGATTTGGTGTTAACCAGGCAAGTGCATCTGGTTGAATGGGCTTTTCGCAGGGGAACAAGTAGATTTGGAGTAATAGATGGCGCTGAGTATTGTGGCGTTTTCAGAAAAATCGGATGGGCTCCAAGTTTACGCCACGCTAACGTCGTTCAACAAGCCGATTTTCAAAGTTGCTATGGGTTGAATGGAGATTCTTAAAACATATCTTTTGCTATCATTAATGCGCCCACGTGCGGTTTTTCATTCCCTTTCACTTATTGATGCGCCAAATCGGGCGCGAAAAGCGCATGCGCATATGTGTACGACATGCTTCAGATCGATACTTGTAAAAACCCTACGCAGTACCACCCCTTTGTGCTAATCTTTGTCCAGTCTCAGGAATTCACAAAAAACCTTAGCTACACTTTTCCCCATGCGTTCTTCATCCAAACGTCGGCTAAGAAGCCTTGTCGAAGAATGGGTCCCCCCTCACATAGCTACAAGGGGAGCCGGGCCCGCCTGTTTGCCAACCATCCACGCACCCTCCATCATCACCTCTCAATTAGCCGACCGGCAAATCTTGTCTTGCACACTACCTACATCGGTGTGAACATGCCGCTGCACATTGGCATCAATTTGGAGTGCTGCTGATTTTTGATATGGCGCGCACATTCCATGCATAAATGTGTTCGTGCTAAGCCGTAATCTGTAGCTACTATCGCATTTTGACCTTTAATAAATTGCATACTTTATCTATCGAGGTAAAGCCTGAGATCAAAAATTGGTTTCATAGATCATGTGATACGTATTTTTCTAGCTAGATGCGCTGCTCCTGGACCCATTTTCTCCCTCTTGAGATCGCACCTTGAATGTTTTCTTCCAGATTTCGGCAAAGCATGCAGAAGAATGGAAACTAAATCCTTGGTTCAGTATAATAGAAATAGTCATACCGATAAAAGATTGTCAATGGGCTACATCCTCGAACAAGTAAGGCCCATGCCTGATTCCCATATAGCGCCACGATTTCCTCGGTGATCCCTGCCTTCTGGGCTTCGAAGATGTTCATTAAGAAAAGCGCACAATTGATCATCAGCATCAGCGTTACAATCTGCAATTATATAAATCTTATTAAATTGGAGGCTAAAATTTACATGCTAATGGGGTGCACCACCGACAAACAATTTCGAAAACTGTAACTCAAGAGAATCTGGTTAAATCTAAGATCGCTTTTGGGTGTTCCACTACCTTACCGTGTTCCAACAACGGAACCCTCTCTGCTTTATTTTCTAAAGATTCGAAAATTGAAGAAATGGGGGGTAAGGGAGCGGAGAAACGTTCGAAAAGAGGACCTGTTTGCCCGGCTTGTAGCGTACGATCTCTTCGTCGTCCATGCGCAGCTCTAATCGCCCGCTAACCATGATCAGCCCCGATTGTAGAGACACCTAAGTGCCAAGCGGATTGCCGGGTCAATGTGACGCTTTTCTGCTCGGGTGGGGTAGTCATTTACCTGTACTAAACGTAGCAATTGAACGCCAAAGAGTAAATAGGATAGGTTTTCTTTCTGCGAGTTATTGGTGAACGCCATAATTCCACCTAAATTTCCAAAAGAAATAAAAAAAATTATTTGGTTTTACCTATGCAATAAACCAATTCACCAATAAGTCCCACCACTAGCAAAATCTGGTCCAACAATTCTGCGCTTTCTTCTGCTTCGGTTTCTTTTTCTTTTGCAAAAAGTAGAACCTATGGAAAAGTTTTTCAAGCCATGTAAAAAACCTACTCTCATTCTATAAAACGCCAAAAGAGAAACTAAGATGGCAAGGATAAAATACGCAGCGTTCGTTCCAAGGAAAATCTGAAAATCGATTTTTGCATTTTTTTTTCTATCGAAAAATCTTACCCATTGCGCCAGTTCCTTCTTACTAGAATAGGCATTGAAGAGCAGTATTGAAATGATACAGCTGATCACCACGAGAAAGCCACCGAAGAGGCCCTCCGAGGTTCTGGAACAATCCATGGTAATCACGTTCCGCTTTCCAAGCTTTTTCTCCACCTAAAGGAGCCAATTGTCGGGCACAGTTTCTCGCGACTGACATCTTCACGTTTCGATGAGATTGATGTCCAAAAGACGAATGCCACACCGGCGCAGATTAGTGAGTACTCGACGACGCAAGTGTACCTAGATTCAACGTTGCATGTTTGAGTCAACCTTACATGAATTCGCTGAATTCACCGAAAACACAATGCGACCCATTGCAGTTACGTTCGCCACTATGGCTGCTAAGACCTTAAATCAGGGTTTAAACGTAAATATTCTAGTTACTTTCAGTCAATGGATCAAAAGCGACATGTCTAGGTTGTCCATAATTCTCCAGACCTGCCGCTGTTGTCGTAATTGTAAATTTCGACTAAAAAATAAATTTTTAAGTCGCAATTAGCAATACCTCATCTAATTCACTAATCGTCTCCGCTTCCTCATACAAGATATATCTTAACCACATCCAGAGATTGGTGGTCACCAAATGCATCAGACCAAGTCTAGCGATATTTGGCGAGCCAATAAATGTAATCTGAAGAGCGCCAGGGTCAGATACAGACTTTTATACCTTTCCGTTGCAAAACACGAACCACATCTGGGAAAAGATGAAAATTGCCGCGATTACGGAGATGATTTCGGAATATATGGTACATTCCTTTGCACTATTTTCCCATCCGAGAGCACAGACCAATGTGACCATGCCGTAATAAACAACTCCGATGATTCCAAAAACTAAAACAAATCTAAAACTTAACCTTAAAGTATCGATTTTCTTACCGACGCATCCAATCCGTAAATACATGCTACCAGTCGAAACGTTTGTGAGCATTTCTGGCTCTGGAAGCCCGCGTACGTTCTTTTTCCGCTCAAAATCATGATTTTTAAATATATCGATTGCAAGAATTGTATTTAAATCTTTTGACAAAAACATATAGTTTTGTTTTCTAGAAATTTACCTGTTTATGTAAATCGCGATGTGCTACAAGAACGGTCAGTCCAGCATATGCAATAAAAAGTATGGACCCTCCATAGAGATATGATGCAAGAATCTAGGCCTCTATCAACAGGTTTCTAATCAGCATTACCAAATCTTTTAAATGTGGTGTATACGCATGCCCATCATTCATTAAATTCGATAATTCCATAATTATCCCGACGATAACTACCAATAACGCATAAAACGAGGTCAGCAGTTTAAAAATAAAATCCCTGAATTTGTCGTACTTTCTCGAGTGGGCTGTTCAACCTGGAATGTTTGCTATGGGCCCAATTCTCGTCGAGTGTAGAATCGGGAACAACCGGTCGCACCCGGATATTATCATTATGTTTTCGTAAAAGCTCATCTTCTACACCACCTCAACAATGTTTTTTGGGGAACATTTCATTAAGCGAACCCTCAATCCCATCTATCATCCGCAGCGGGATTCGCGTGGCAACCGGCATATTTACCAACTGGAAAAATGTTTGAAATGCGACAGACTCCCCCGAGGACTGGGTAAACATTGCAAACGAAAGTTGCGGTTCGCTCTCGCTTAATCCGTTTGCAAAAGTAAAGTTGGGAACGGGGAAAGGAAATGGATTTTTGAAGGAGGTGATTTGTATGATAGGAAACATCCGTTAGTGGAATTGTTTGAGGGTGAAGTGCTTTCGGGGGAGAGAAATAGGGGGTGAAAAGGGAGGAAAGGAGACAAATAAATGTGGGTTGGAATAAAGAGACAGAGCGCGGGCCCGGGCGTTTCTGGGGGGATAGTTGGTTCTTTGGTGTTGCTGTAAACGGCAGAGAAAAAAGCCGGAATATATCCGCAGCAATTTCGGTGTTTAGCAAAATGAAGTTTGTTTCGAGTTTTAAAAATGTGAATATGTCAATCTTTAAAAAAAATTGGTGCCTTAAAAAGTGCTGAATTTTCATTCAAAACTATGTTTTTGCCAGCGATTTTTAAGGTAAGTATAGTTTTCAAAACGTGGAATATGAAGCACCCCCGCCGAAATTCGGTGACTCATAGCTTATGCGCTATCAATGCCCCGGCCATCGATTCATCGAGGCCCCGATCCGGCCGTTTGCAAAGTATACGACCTCATGGTGGGAAAGAAAAAGGGGAAGCCGGAAAGCTCGCTAGACCACATGCAACAACTGCTAGGGCTAGCGTACAAGGTCGCCAATAAATAACTCTAAAGACCTAGTCGGGGCTCGAATTTCGGTAGGTGGAATTTTTTTGGTGAGAAATATGAGAAATTGGTGTTTTTCGTAGTACTCTGGCTAATGAGATTTTTATCGGGAAGCTTGTTGGCTTTAGGATTTTTTGTAGAATTAGGTCATCTTACCTAAATGATAAGCTATATTTAGCCACCCGTAAGGGTCATTCTTTCTTAAGGGGCTTAAATCCTAGATAAATTTCCATTTTTAAATTTTCCTGAATTCAACAGTTTGATCTTTGAGCTTCAGGTTGGCATTATGTTATTAGTAACGGCATAAACTATTGGCAAATTTGAATAAAGTTATCACGCTTGTAGGCTGTCTAGTTCTTTAGTGTTCCTTTTTCCCCCAAATTCAAAGTTTTGATCTTTGAGCCGCGCCCTCTCTTCCTCTCCTTTATCCCTTTTACTCGTACTCCACCCTTTGAGCCCTTCGAGGATGACATAGAGTGAAAGTATTTGCGGGGCGCTTATTGATCCTGGGTCCTTTTCAGGAAATAGCTTTTGGCCGGAGGGAGTAGCCCTCCTCCTATTCTGGGGAGGGGCCAGTGTCGTTAGTACGACTCAACATCCCATTAATAGACACTTTTACTCTCCGAAAACATGGAACCATTTGATTTTTCTCATGATGATGCCGAACGAGCGGAGCGCTATGCTAATTTCTATACCTATATTCCCGTAAACCAGGTGGGAGCTTATTAGCTGAAAAAACACGTCAACAGGAAGCACTCCCGAGGCAACACCCCAGCGAAAAAGTTGTGGTCAAAGCATCTACCAAGCTTATTACATGCCCGCATTGCGCGAATGTAGGCCATTAATTATTTGTTACTATTGCTTTTTAGGAATTTAAAATTAACTTCCGGAAGACGTACAGCGAGGTGGTTTGCGGGTTATTGTTAATCAGCTTTGGCGTCCTGATGGTATTTCCTGTGAAATATTATTTCATGTAAATTCTTCGCCTGGAAACTTTTATTTTCGAGATCGAGAACCATCGATCCCACGAGTACCGTTTTAGCGCAGTGATCTCCTCATGGTTTAATTTCTAATAAATATTGAATGTATCTGTCATGTTTTATAACTACACTTTTTTAAATACAACGTCTCTATAACTACAGGGTGCGGAAAAAGTTTTGGGTGGCGCCTTTTTATTGCGAAAAATTGTTGTTCTAAGCTATACCGCGCTCATTTTGTGGTGTCAACATAGATTCGGACGTGCTCTATCCGATTCTGAGAACGGTAATGGTTTAAAAATTAGTTTCCGCATGAGAATCGGCTTGGAAACACGGAGGCTCCAGAAATGGTACACATTTGGTTGTTATGAAATATAGGTTATAATGCTGCGGATCTTATCACCAGGCTTTCCCGGGTTTCGGATTATGATAGACAGGGAATAAGCATTATCCCATGTAAAGCTTACATTTTTTGATCAGCTTTGCTAAACCCTGGGCACAATTGAGTTGAAAATAAGCAGCGTGCCGCGGTTTCCGGCTTTTCAACTTTTTGTGAAGCTCAACCTGCAGTTGTTTTAATGTCTATCCCACAAATTTCGACGTCAAACATCTTGATTTAAAATATTCATATGCCTAATCTATCATTAATGTGGCGCTTCGCGGTTTATGGGCTGTAAGCCCCCCAGCTTCGCAGCTGCTTCCCATGCCGCTAGGGGAATTGCTCAGAATTCAAAGCGCCAGAACCCTCTGAATTTAAATTCAGAAACTTTGTAATTTCATGGGGTGATGTAGGATAGGATTGGCAATATCTGGACCAATTCTCGTGAATTTCGGTGAAGAATGATGGACAGGGCATACGGTAAGAGCAGCAAAAGCGCTGCGTGCCGAAGGTGATTCTAGCGCGACGCTTTCAGTGCATTTTCCCCCGAAAATTTCAAAAATTTTGTTGATCTGCTGGGCCTAGTGTTTCTCAAGTTGCCCTTTTTTAGTCTCCCATTCAAAAAATCCAGGCTGGAGCACGCAATTTGTGAAAACATAGCTAATTCTGCCACCCAAAACTTTCTCCGCACCCTGTACACGGAAGCACCCTCACATCACGAACGGCAAGAAAAGTTTATGACTAAAGGGGTCACATTTTCTCACCTTGTTGCTCTGATTTGGCCACTTAGTTCCAAAGCCCCGGAAGGATCTTTTTACGACGTATGTTAGTGCAATAAATTACTCATAGCTCACATGTCTTTCTACGCAAGAAAAACCCAACTTTGCATTTGCATTTGCAAACCGTATTTTCTAGTTTTCCAGCAGAATAACCTCGATGTGGGACATTTATTACTATGTACATAGAGATGCAGTTATTAAGTGGCGATGCTTAAGCGACGACGCAGCCGTACCGCTTCGTCGCGTTCATGAAGGTCTTGAAGTACGGCAGGAAGCATTCCTCTTTCGGGAAGAGACAGATTTGATAGCTTCCATCGGTGCGGGCGGTTGCGCAAGGGTTTCCGTTGTTGATACGGGTATCACCACTAAAATTAACGTTAAATGCTTACTAAATTAGGAAAAACAGATACACGACATTCAAGGACTTGAAATACTCACACACAAGTCGTAGTATTGACTGGGCATCCGTTCAGGGCACCGCAAGTGCGAGTCTGGGCTGGACCTTCCGCTCCACATGTCATGTTAGCGTTGCAGGCGGTTGGTGCCGACCAAGCTGACCAAGCTGCGACAGCGTTTGCGCAGCAAGGGGTAAGTTGTACGTGGTCGTTAATGCTTCTGTAATTTAATTATGGCTCAAAGGATCCAAAACATACCCGCATCCACTTCCGGTTGCGTCTTCAAGGCATAGACGGATCTGGACTTGATATTGCGGGGCGCAACTCTAGAAATAAGACTTCGATTAACTATAAAAACTCAGATAATTGTATTTTTAAGGTAGCTTCAACCCTAGCTTACCCCAGTACAAGCCTCATTCAATCCCATCCATGTCTGGAATGTTCCCGCCGCCGCCGCGGCTCCAATAATCACCGCAATAGTAGCGGCCAAGCTGCCGGCCCGGCCCATATTAGCTGTAGTTGGACCACCTTGATGTTGCCCAACCACCACCCGCAGCGCCTTTTATACCCGGGCCCACAGCAGCCAAATACCTCAAACCAATGGCTCCATCTACACCGGTTGTGCAAACGGCTACCAGTATCCATGATGATCGGAGATTGCATTTTCAAATGCATAGTCCCCATTTTTGGGGTGCCGGCACGTGGACACGGCTGTGCAAATGGGGGTTCGAACGCGGTGGCCAGCAATATGAACTGTAGTTTAGGATTTTGGAAAGACATATGTTGCTGCTGATGCATGGGCCGAACGTGCGGCCGGTAAGTGGCTAGAAAACAGAAAAATTCTAGCATTGTCTTCACGCTAATAGAAGCACCATCCAATAAAATCTGAAAATGCAATATTAATAGAAGTTTTGCGCAACATGTAGTTGCATTGAAAAATTTTTCATTCGATTAATTTTGCTTTCTATTTCCGGTACTTTAAACGATCGAAAAATTCCAGCGCTTTCGCCATTACAGGCACCTTCTTACAGATACCTTTTACCATAAAATTTTATTCCAATTTCCATAACTTTTCCCCTAAAGGGTAGCCAGCTTAACAGCCCACCGCAGAGCTGGGGTGACTTCGATACTTCCATAATCCCCGGGGTTGTTTTTTTGTATTTTGCGATAAGACATATTGACCTAAATCTACAAAAAAAACGTCAAAGATTTTTAATTTCCCTGTTGCAAAGCTCAACCAAAAACTCGTCGGCTATAACCCCCGACGCGGCCACATTTTGATGAGCCATGAGCACACGCGACAGCAGACGTTTATTGGTACTATGTTCACTCGGCCTGCGGCACAGTGTGTGGAATGCTTGAGAATGCGAGTGAAACGAGTGAAGTGGGCATGTGCGCCGAAAAGCTGATAAGGAGCAGCCAACCGGAGACCGAAACCGACGAGAAGACGTGCGACCGGACGATCCGCCTCAGGCAAAAGGCTGCCGGGATTCGATGGTGCCCAAGGGTTGCTTTGTGTTTTTGATACTCGCTGCCGTTGCCGTGGTGTTGATTGGAATTTTTCTGATCATATTTCCATATACCGTATACCCGTCCATCGTTCGATCACAGTTGCATTTGAGGTAATAATATTTATTTTTTGATCTATCTATCCGTCTTTATTAACAAAATCAGTAAGAAAAATTTGAATTTTAACGACCCAAATTACGTAGCTCCTCGATATTTCTTGAAACCTACAGTAACAAAAAAAGTGCGTAGTGTTGTCAAGCGCACAATTCCTTTTTAGGCACAGCTAAAATTTTGAACAAAATTGGCCCAAGCAATCAGTCAATTCAGAATGTAAAATAAAGTTAGAAGCATTTCAATTAATTTTGAAAACCGTGTATTGCGCCAGGGAGTATCCTTAAAACAGCAGCATTTATAAAAATCGCCTTTCTTAATACTTGTATATTTGTAAAACTCAGTCTCTTAAGCGCAATATAAAAATTTCGACAAAAATTAGTTGACTAGCTTCCCTGATTGCCCTTCTAACCTCAATTTCAGTCATGCAGAAGATGGCTCCCTTCCAACCCTCACCTATTATTGGAGCAAACTACCAGCCGATACTAGCTACAATTACTACTTTTTCAATATTACGAATCGAGACGAGGTGTGTTATCAACTAGGCACCTCACTACCCCTATTAAAACCCTTTCATCCAATGCTCTTTCAGGTGATGTACCAAAACGCAATGCCGGATCTCGTCGAAATTGGGCCCTATTCGTACAAGTGGGTGCAGTCCGTAGTTTCCTCGTTGTTTGGGGGTGTAGTGGTCAAAAAGTCAGCGCACGTGGATGGGATTTGCGTTTGTTTGCAGGTATTATCGATTAATCCCCTCGCAATCTTTCGACGGCACAGACAAGATAATGCTGTCATTGTGGGGCGTCTCCGAAACCGGGAAGCAGAAAGATTAATAAATCGCGTTGACAGAGACCACCCGCTAGGGTGCAAATTTATTACCGAAGTTAGGCGTGGGGATCTTTGAGCTTTTTCGGCTTGGGACGGAAATCAATTAAACGAGCATGGCCATGCGTAAACGGGGAGATGATAAGGAGGGGCGAGGCTGGTAATGGCCGGGAAAATAAAGTGTTTTGTGGCTTAATGTGCACAAATGGCTTTTTGCAGGGAATGGGAGTTCAAGGAGGGTGTACAATGGCTGGAGAATGATAATAAGATACATTTTCAAAATAATAAGTCATTCGCGTACGATCAGGCGAATTCGTGCAGTTATTGTACGTATAAGGATATGGTGACGTTACCGAATGCGGCATATATGGTATGTTTTTCTATTAAACAATTATAGGGACTTACAGCATTCCTAGAAACAACGATAATGTAATTTTTTGCTTTTTCAAAACCTTTTTTAGTCCATCCTCACCTTACTAAATCAAAATAAAGCTCTCCCAAATATTGCCGTTCTCACAACAATTTTCGACCTTCTAGCACTATTGCTTGGCGAACAACCAATGCGGTAACTGATTTTCTTATATTTTTAAAATTCTTAATAGAACGGTACCGGTAGCCGGAATCCTCTACGACTCCTACAACGACCCCCTAATCGACCTGACCACTTCAAATCTCACCAAAATGCTTGCCCCCGATGGAAAGCTGCTTGGAGTTCAACTACCCGACATCGAGGCCATGGGATATTTCCCTTATGTAAGTATGCAACCTAATTATTAAATCTAATTTTTGCGTTTTAGTATAACCACACAAACGATGAGACCTACAAAATTCACAGTGGAAAAGCGGATGTCTATAAAACAGGGCAAATTGTTGAATGGGCTGGAAATACAAGCTTGGCTTGGTGGGGCGATGAATATTCAGCTTCACTGGAAGGGTCCAGCGGTAAGTTATGCTTGCTTCTGCAATAAATCCATTTTAGACGGCTCCTTCAATAAGGCTAACCTGAAGAAAACGGATAAGATCAAAATGTATCAGTCATATGCATGCCGGTATTAACTGACTACCCATCCAAATTCTGTTTTAGTACTTTCCGCATGACGTACACCGACCAGGATACAGTGAGGGGAATCAAATCCTACATCTATAAATTGGAATCATTTGATTATGATACTACGATCGAATTAAATCGTGGTTATCGATATGAGAATACTGAATTGGTGGTGCGTCGCTAAAAACCTTTAGGGGACCTTGTTTTAGGACTATTTCCCAACATGGCCTTGTGGAGCAAATCACCAATACAATGGCAGCTGCCAAAACACCGTTGATTGTACGCTAAGTGCAAACTGGTGCTCAAGTTGTTGCAATGGTCAGAACGGAAGAATTTGAAAACACAGTTAAAGTCTAGGTACTCATTACAAAGATCAAACCGTTTTTATGCCTCCGGGTGTGGTCCCTCTGCGGTGTTTGCCAGGTAAAATAACTAAAATCGACTGAATTAACGCCAAAGCAACCGTTTTCAGGTCAAAAGAAACGATTGCCATTTGCCGGTTTCCTATCACCACCACACTTCTTGCAATCACCATTAGAGGTAAAAAGTTTATCTCGCTCACTCGCTCTATCTCTCTCGTTCTCATGCTCTCTATCTCTCCACAACGATATATTTTTAGGTAACAAGTTCAATGAGAGGTGTAGCTCCTGACCCAGAACTCCATGAACCTGCAAAATTCTATATTAACCCGGTAAGCCCGTAGACAAAACCAACCGAAAAATCTAGCTAACTGGTTCCACTGTAAAAGCTGCCTTCCGGATGCAACTCGTCGTACCAATCTACAATAGACACAATTTCCTGTAAGCCCACATCACCAATTTATCAAAGTTTAATTTTTAGCCTATCTAAACGAATTCGAAATGCCTTCCTGCCTTCATTTTGGGTTGATATCAAAGTCGATCTGAAGAAATATGCCATCAACTACATCAAAACCGTAACCGTCATCATCCCAGACATTGCATTGGGGATCGGCATCGGGTTGCTGGTGATTGGACTGAGCTGTAAGTCCATAAATTACTTCTAAATATCGTCTTTTAGGTATCCTCACCACATTTTTATGCGCGATGCGCCGGACCAGACGGGATGCTGTACAAAAGTTTGAAGTGGAGCCGGTGCCGGCGATAAGCGCCACACAGCCGAAGGATGATGTCTGGACCTAGAGAATTATGAATTTTTGTGGTTTTATTTGAAGCATAAATATTTATTGGCTTATCCATAACAACAAAATTCCTAGAATTTTCGGTACAAGCCGGTAAGGTTAGATAAGCACACGCAAATTCTGAACGGCGCAACCTAACCGATCAGCAATTTGGATAAATTAGAAACGATATAGTAAAGCCCATGGTATTCGAGTAACTTATAATTTGAATATGACCTCTATCCACTAAAACGTAGCTACTTTGGATAATTTGCCTCTAATCGTTGATCTAATGTAAGCATGAATATTAGGGAATTTTTTAATTTTTTAATTGATTGTTTGGTTAATTTTGTATACTTTTAAAACCTTGTTCACGAATTCTAATAGGAACGACGCAATGCAAGTGTCCCCAAACAGGAAAAAGACTTCCGGCTTTTTGTTTTTACTCCTTAAATAGAAGCTTAAAATGTACATAACCCTTTTATGCATCCTTCTATCACCACATTGTTGCGATGCGCGAATTTTCGAGCCAGCTGAGTGGCGCATGTGATGGAGGGCAAATGGACCAATATGGTCGTAACAGGGTGTAGGGGTCAACGCCATGGGCCACACACCGCACGGACAATTACCGATTGGATGGTGGGAGGCTCTTCAATTAAGGGGTCTAGCCAAAATGGAGTCAAAACAGGGGCGTGCAGCTGCCTATGATCATATTCCTACCGGATGTCTTGGCTTACGCAACTCGCATTAATTTTTGGTAAGCCACCCGGGTTGGTAGGTCGTAAAATAGGGTTGGATAGAGCCGTGGGTTGGATCTATCTTTTTGAGGTAGGCTTACGCTTTGGCTTAGCTTAAGTTTAGATGTCGGCTTAAGGATAGACTGATGCCTTTGCTTATTAAGCCGCTAAATAAGAACTTGTAAAATCCTTATTTACAATCCTCGCACTACCATCGACAAGTGGCCTAACCAAACTACCGGAATCCTACTACCCTCCGGAATACCAAATATTCCACGGTGATGCCCTGTGTTGTATTTCAGTGGCCCTAACGGAATTACGGGCTTGACTTAGTGGTGGAGGAGGGCCCTGTTTGGGCAGGGGCTGGGTGGGTAATGTGCATAATGCAATTACCAAGGGGATCCGGCCCATCCACAAGATGAGGTGCCCTGCTAACTGGAGAGAGGGACCGGGGTACCGTAGCCTTCGCCGCCCAGACACGCGCTATTCTATCTGGTGTAATTTTGTCTCTATGCTATAATTCGTTTAGTTGTCCAGGAATTGGAAATGTATTTTTAGAAAAGTAATTGGATCTTTTACATAACTAAGGGTTTTTTCAACAACAGTAGCCCCCAGGCTCTCCTCCGGCTCTGTTTCCTTAGCGGTGGGGGTCTGACAAGGGGAAAAACTTCCTTGATTCAGCCTAACGGTTATTGAGGCTATTTTTTTAACAAGAAAGCCAAATTCTTTTTGAGAATTTTCTACGAACTTTTGCTCTCTGTAAAATGCATCAATGTTATTAAAATAATTTATGTCCCATTATTCGGCGTCTGCGACCTCATAGGAAAACCGTATTTCTCCCATGCTAAAATCTCCTCCCCCCGCTAACCAAACAACCGTTGATCCCTAGCTTCTTCTATACATAAATATATACCACCCCCATTAAAATTCCTCACTTTAACCAAACTTCCCCAACCCGTTTAGACCTTTACCATTTCACTGGGGGCACCGCCCGGCACCTATAGACCCCTGTTGAACTTGCTAGGAAACTGAGAATGAGGTGCCTGTTGGGTGCCGATCCACTTCACGTCCCAATGGCCCCCGCGATGTATAGCAAAATGGGGGTGGAAGGTTGAAGGGCCCCGGTTGGGCCCCTCAGACGCTGACTCGTGCCCTATCCGCCCCGCCTCCAGAATACCGTAGCGAGGGACCCCCTTCTCAATAATGACCTCCCGCCCTCGCCTTGCAAATTTCAGTTGTCACGATTAGGGCTTCTCAAGGATGACGTCCTGATTGACAATAAGAAGCGGTATCCATACTGCTTTAAAGCGGCTATCTAACTTCCGATAGATGTTAATTGTTTCTCAACAAATAGTCTGTCCGAAATTAAGTATCGAAAATACTTAAATTAACCATCCAAGACATAGGATTATGTAACTTCTCAGTGGCGTGTAGTCCGCTACGGATCCAATGACAAATACCATAAAACTATCCTTTTTGAGGTATGCTTCGATACGTTTTTACGCGTAGCCTTGACCGGAGTTCTGCGATAACTTTTCTTACTTCAGGTATATTGAACCAATGCCCTCCAGATGTACCAAAACTTGCTGCATACACTTAGCTTGCTGTTTTTGTTTAAACGAGCTGAAGTTTGCTTGTATAATCTAACAGTTACGGGTTTCAGATATACCCCGAGATGCTCCCCATAAAGCCACCCCTTACCGTCTTCCCCGACCTCGTCAACCCGTTCGCTTTCTGGAACTGTTTCCGACCCAACAACTTCCAAAACACCCCCTTCTTCCCCCATTTCTATCAAGCATTCCTCCCCCAGGAGTGCCGTTCAGTCACGAAAAACGAGAAGCTGAAGGAGCTTTTTCTTTGCAATGATACGCCCGGTGTGACTGGTAAGTTGATCTTGACAGCTCAAAATATATATCCTAACTCTAGAACTCGATGAAGAGCGTGGCCTACTAAAAACTCATTTCAATTTGGGTGGAAAAGACTTCAACTCGGTGATATGTGTGGCGGCGGCCGGGTTCGCAGCTGGCTCTGCGCTCGAGGTTTTTGGGTTCACCGTTTTTGCTCACTTGGTTTAGTTGCCGGCCAGCTGGCGTAGTTTCTGTCGGGTTGATACAAAAACGGCGAACTGTGATGGTAGGAGGGTGTTGGTTGATGTTGAACGTGGGCAAGAGATTATATTAACGAGTAAGAGGGTTGTTGTGAAGGCACCATCGACTAGTGAGATCAAGGTAAGACTTATTCGTTTTGTGGTGCCTAAAGTAAATGTAATTTCTGAAACAATCTATAATAGTTTTACAATCCATTTCAGGCGAAGAAATTCAGCGATTTTTCCATTTCGAACCTCTCCAAATCGGACGAGCGCCCCATCAGCTCGGCTTCTCCTGAATACCACATCAACATTGTGGAACAACACTCTACTTCTGGTCGGTCATTCGCCGGACTATCACTTTTCGATTATCCCGTAAAGCCAGGTGTTGGGTCTGGGTGGGTAGGATAAAGGCGTGAAAATAGCGGAAGGGGAGACCTCATTAGAATCGCGAGATTAGGGCTGTCCCCCGGACCTCCAAAATGAGGTTCACAAGGGCTTCCGGTGGTAGGGCATCATGTGCAACATGGCTCGAGGTCCATCGCGCAAGAAGATAGAGGGGTGTAAGAAATGGCAATTTTTGTTAACGATTTTAGCTGATTTTTTCATTGGGTCACAATAAAAAACGCTATTCATAAAATCTAATCGGTAGTGGTAATTAGGCGTGGCTGGTCCAAACTGATCCCTAATTATCATGGTCTTAATGAAAAGCCTAAATGATACTTTACAGATCAAAAAGGTTTCGAGTGCCCACGATGCGGGAAGGTGTTCAGCTACGAATACTACCGGGATAAGCACCTCAAATACACCCGCTGCGTCGACCAAGGCGACCGGAAATTCCCTTGCTCCAGCTGCACACGGCAAGTTTATTTGTAAAAGGCTTTGGGCGAGACGGATGGCCTCATTTGTGACGGGGTGATTGTTCGGCGAAGGTGGTGTTGATCACATACCGTACCCCGGCCTTGTGTCCGTCAAGGGGAAAACGTGTTTTGTGGCTCGTTGAAGGACAAATTATGTCTTTGCTACGTGGTGTGGGGTATTTCGTAATGGGGGAATGGTTTTTGACTTCTGCTCAGTAGCATAAGAGCACGAATGCTCGTTTACAATTTGTAATTTACAATCATCAATTAAGGCAATTATCCGTTTATGTCCTATTTTAATAGTCTATTTCGCTCAGATCAATTTCTAATTTGCACACTGGGTCGTTTGAAAGGTTGAAGTGGGCGATCGGTTGTGTTTGTAGAATGGGCCCCTGTTTGACACGGGCCGAACACGTCTCGCCACTTGGCCCCGTGTCGAAGTGGTAGGGCAGGTAATAGGGTAGATACAGAGGGTCGTTTGCGTGAAACTGTGGCTGGTGAACTAAATAACACTTTAAAACTGCTAACAACGTATCTGGTAGCGCAAAAATTAGCCGTGGGCAGGCAAAGCCAAGCATAAAAAAGTAGAAAACTTTATACGTGCCTTTTCAGTTCTTTCGAAAAGCGTGACCGCCTCCGTATCCATGTCCTGCACGTCCACGAAAATCATCGCCCCCATGCCTGCATCGTCTGTGCCAAAGCGTTCTCTCAAAGTAGCAGCCTCAACAAGGTATCTAACTCCACACTAGCGATGGTATTATTCAAACTTCAAACCCAATTTGCATCCGCCGAATCAAATCTGGCTATTTGACTTGAATAAGGTGTTAGCAGTTCAAATTAAATCGACTTGACTTGGACTTACGAGGTTCCGTTAAAAGCTTTAGATTTGAAAGAGGATTTGGAAGAGGACCTGAAATGACTTGAAAATTGAATAGCTCATTACGCGAATGCTACTTTCATGATAGCATGCATAGTCAAGGTCATTTCCGGTTCGCGGCAGCTCGACTACAGCGATTTTCTTATAGTTTGCATGCCGACATCTAGTTAAGGTTTGACTAAGGACCGGAAGCTTAAGCAAATCCTCAATATTTGATTTGAACTCGTTTACGTCGACTCAATTCAAATCCCCAAAAATTGAAATGGCATTTTTACCTTCAAATATCCAGATTTGACTCAAGATTTGATTTGAATAACACCGTCATTACTCCATACCCCCCTCTTTCTTCAAAAGCATTTTCAGCATCTCCGCGTCCATTCTGGGGAACGCCCTTACAAGTGCTCGTTTTGCCCGAAGGCCTTTACCGCTTCCTCCATCCTCCGCACGCACATACGGCAGCACAGCGGGGAAAAGCCCTTTAAGGTATATATTTGGGCATGGTGGCCCATTCGGATCCTCTTTGCCTCGTTTTTTTCGGGGGCCTGCGGTGTCCTAACCATTTATCCGCGTTCTAGTGTGCCCAATGCGGCAAGCCATTCGCATCCCACGCGGCACATGACAGCCATGTTAGGAGGACACATGGCGAGACGCGGAACGACGAGAAAGCATCTGGATAAATGTGTTTTTTTTACATAATGAAGGCAGAAATAACCGTGACGAAACGCCTTTCTAAGATTTGCATATGAATTCTGCATTTTCCGGTTTGTTATATATTCGAAACGATTTAATATAGACGGATTTAACCCAAAAAAAAGTCCTTTCACTTTTTAACTTGCACATGATGACACCTAACAATTTCCGGGAACATTTAGGGCACTGCAATTAAAATCCGTCCAGTCTCGTTCGAGCTAGCCTGTACTCACCTTTCCCAGAAAAAAACGTATCTAACCCTATTTAAACAATTCCTAAAACGTCTTTGACTGATCCAACAGGTTCGACCTCCGTACTGGTCGATGTTCATCCACCTTGGTGGTCCACCTTTAACATTCCCCCCCTGTTGAACACACCCCGCTTCTACGTCACTAATCGCCATCCGGTTCTCGCAAATTAAAAAAGGGAGATGAGCAAACCCGACACGCTCAAAGATGTGTTTTAGATCAAGAGAACTTCCCCCACCCTCCCCCCCCCCCTTTTCCCCATTTAGCATACGTCAGGGATTGGAGGTAATTCGGGCTCAAATAAATACCGACGGCCACCAATTTACCCCAGTCCCCCGCACGCTGGAGGGGACATCATTACTCTAACCACCATTCGAGAACACGATGTCCTTTTTCGTCTACTATGTTTTTCTTATGTCCTTACAATTGGCGTCTCGATGGCGTGGGCTGCAATATGATCCCCCGTGCCTTTTCATAATTTGTGCGCTTTCATTCAAACACATGCAAGAGTTCGGAAATTTGAGTAGCCCAATGACCGGGCAAAAAGCCAATAAGCAAACCGGATCTTGGAAACCAGCAAAAACTCGTTTCCCAGATACCACGTTCCTAAATCTTTAGGTTTTATTGGGAACCCGTGGCATTTACGCAAATGTGTAAAACTTGGCAACGGTTCAAGGATCGTATTTCAAATGGGCGAACGACTGAACATTAGTTTTATACATTTGTGCGGGGACTTCAGTACGTGGTACCTGGTTGCCCTATTTTTATCGGTGCTCTTTGGGAAAGGTCCAACCTAGTTTTCGACGCCCCGAGCGGATTATATAAGGAAGTGGCATTTCCCCCTAGGAGAAAATGGCATCTACTGCGGGGTTTTGCGTGCAATCTTGTTATATTAGTTGACGTTACTTTTCCAGGTTTTCGGTGCAAGAAGTTCGCCCTATCCGGCCTTATATAAGCATTTGCTTGGGGGGGTGCCATAAGTATACGTTAGCCAAGCTCACGTCCATAATTCACTCGGTGCTTTGTGAAATTCTGCAAAAAAACTTCCTGGCCGGGGGCATCGGCGTGATATCATTGGCCATTCCGCTCACTTATTATTTCATTACCATTCATTACTCGCCGCGATCTCGCAACGCTAATCTAACGAAATGGGCGGAAACAAAAAGGCACAAATCTGGTCTCGCCGTGTAATCAGCTTAAACTATGGAGGTTGATGTCAGGTAATAAGGTAGTTAGTGAGCTTATTGCATGGTTTAATTCTTGGTCTAGAATTAAATACGAAGAATTGATGATTTTCCGATAAAATCTTGCGGGTTTTTTCTTAACGAGCTATGCTTTTTGGACAACTTTAAAGTTCCCCCGAACAGGTGCAAGCTGTACTTACTCTTTTACAGTATCCCCGACATTCCCTTATCCGTACAGATGGGTACACCCACTTGTAGGCGACGTGCCTGATTTCATTTCCTCGTTATAATACAACTGGTTTCCGCCTAAAACTTGTTCTCGTGTATTTGAGGTCATTTTGGGTCGGGGAAAAACTCGTTCTGTTAACCCCATTGCTCGCCGATAATCAGTTCTGAATTGATGGGGGGTTGTCTGTTCGTTGGACGCCTAGTATATGTTTTGAACGAACGCATAGTTAGCTTAGTTCAGCTGATTCAAATTTATATGCCATACATCTCCGATCTTGCTCTATTTAGGCTTTATTTTAGCCCAGGACATCTATTTTTCCAGCCCGGATTGTCATATGTTGCCTTTATTAGAAGTTGGCGATTAGGGAAACGCATTTTTTCGATCGGCCAAGGTACCAAAAACTGCTTGATTTTGACGAATTCCCTTGGTTTTTAACACCATCAACAGCTCAAAACTTCTAAAACACGTCACATCGCGCCAACAGAACTTGGATGCATATTTTTCGGTTCAACAGCAACTTTGCCAGATGTTAGCAGACGAAAGCGCTGACATCGGTGAGGTTCTTGATTTTGGTTCATATTTTTCCGGGAAAATACAGTATCTAGATAAATCTATGGCCCTAAAACATAAGGTTTCTGTGTGGGTGGTAGAAGACATAGCCAGGCGTAGGGGGGTAGCGGGGGGCATGCGACCACATATTCTAGTAATCGGCGCTTCCGGTGGCCCCTATGGCGAATTGGGATAGGGGGGAGGGGGGGCATAATCGAGTTGGCAGTGGTGCGCGGTGGCGGCGCCTACGCTTTTTGGACCGTGGCCGCTGAGTATATGCGAGGATGTTTATCAGTTATGCGGAGATGGAGCGTCTGGATGGGGAGGAGTTCGCAGCCGAAGGGCATCTAACATCACTGGGGCCGGTTATTCTTGGTCTGGTGGTAACATTATGTTCCTCGTTTGGAAAGAGATGATTCAATTATCACTATGCGAATGATCTATTTGCTTTAGTACAGGCCTACCTCTTCTATATTCTCAATGACCCATGTACGATTTTCTGCGAGAGGGAGAGGGAGAGAGAGCAAGCGAGAGGGATAGGCAGTATTTATATTGTGGGTGCTTAGAGTTTATCGATCATCCAAGATACCGGAAATTGGAGTCGAAAAAGAGACACCTTGACACAATCGGTCAGTTTTTAATAACTTAAAATGCCAAAAAATGCAAAGAATAACAGAATCTTTTTAGAAATCGAAAATCTTCCAAAATCTCAAAAATCTTAGAGAATAACAGAGGGCTTAAAATAATGGAAACGCGGTAGCTGACTATATCTACTACCTGTGGACTTTGATGCACTGTTTCACCCGTTCCATTTTTTGAAGTTTAATTCTCCCCACCAATTCCCCAAGTACGCCACCCAACGCTCCGTGTTGTCCATATTTTTTTCCGCACCCAACCTACAGCCCAAAAACTTAATCTGCACAATTGGAGAAGAGCGGGGGTGCCGGCGGGTGACGATTTCGGGTTGGGCGAAGAGAAACACAATCCACATGCCGACTCGGGCGGGGCTTCTCCCTATTCGCGGAAGTTATAAGGGGGAAGACAAAGCGTCAGGTACGGAAAGCGAAGCCCAGCAGGTTCAGAGGTGGCACTGTACTTCGTGTCTAAAGCTTTACTAGAATTCGCTTCACTTCGAGGGAACGCCATGTCTATTTTACTGCCTTGCTTGAGCCCATTCACAAATAGTGGCTCTATTCCGCGACAGGTGTTTGCAGAAATTCTAAAGTTAGGAGGCGTACTTTTGCTGCTACCGTTCCATTCTAATTGTTGTCTCTGTTTAGCCCCCCACGATTCCTGCTTCTTACCCCAGACGGAATGTAGAGCTTGAAGGAACGCGTAACATCTTCAAATTCGATTAGTACTACTAGCTCCTGCTATCGTTTCCTCGGGGGTGCACCTCTAAAAAGCTAGATTCCGAGCCTAAAAGGGGTGAATGAGTGTGGGTGAGAGCGATCTCGCTCGAGTGGTCTTCGTGGGCCCTGAGGCCCCACGTGGGAGGGTTATGATGGCCTTAAGAGGCTAGTCGAGCCGTCCCTTAGTCATACTGCACCTACGAAATGGGCCCTGGTGATTCTTGGTGACCTCATTTGGTCTTAACGCTCCTTCCCTAGACAAACACATTGTTTTACTCTCTTCCCCCGAAAAACACAAATCTCATCGTCCATTTCCCGCATGCCCCAATTCGTGTGTTACTCATGCATTCGTAGGTCAAACCCTCGATTCCATTCGGTCTATGAACTCGCTTCTACTCAACCGTATAAAGTAGAGGAATTTAATACTATATATTCCACGTTCACCCCATGCACCTTCCAAGAACTGCCTATTCCCATCGTTTCTCTTCACTATTGTTCCGCAGACCCAAAAAGGGTCTCCTCCTATTTATCCATTGTTATCTATTTTTGGTTGGTCGGCATTTTTCTGTCTGCCACTGCCAAAATCACTGCACTCTGAGGCTTGGTCTTTCCACTATGGGTGGTCGACAAAATCTTCTGATTACAAGGTGGTTGAGCACTAAAACAGAACCCGGACCATCGCGTTTTTCCTTGAAATTGCCCCTAGTACTGTCTTTATTTGATACATTAAATTTTCCCCCGCAATTTTTTTCCTGCCGCCCAGCAGGTGGTCTTGGCGTGCTTAAAATAGGAGGTCAGCTGAAATCCACTACGCACAAAAAATGACGGAGGCGTAGTGGTTTTGATGTGCACCTCGTTTGAGATGGATCTCATTTTGATTGGAGGGTTTGAAGAGCTCATAAAATTCGTGTGCGTTGATAGATGCGTGGATATCCGTTTTGCGACGGGGAATCGGGAGGTTATTACAGACGGGGCAGAACGGATAGCCGTCAGTGACCAATAGGTTTTGTTGGCTGCGCGAAATCCAATTGACGTTGTGAAATGTCAGGGGTGAGATGAGATATGCTGTATTTTGGCCAGGGGGGATTCAGGTTTTTCTCATTTATTTTTATGTATGTATATATCCATGTGTGTGGGCCATCTTGTGACGAGGTGGGGGGTAGATTGGTAAACGTGGTGGCCAATTCGGACCACGCATCAGGTCGGTGTGAAAAACGATGTTCGTGGGCGGCGCCTCGGGGTTGAACCGCGGGCCATATAAATCCTCTGCGGGCACCCCCTTCCAGCTGTAGATGTTCATGTTCCTTTAATGGGAGTTATTCATTATGTGGTCTGCTGTGTTCTGGTCCCGAAAGTATTTCCGGAATCCGGTTCAGGGGCCTGGTTGGGGTTACCGTAGCCTGCTTAGGATTGCACGTGTAGGTAGTTTGGAGTTTCGAGTAAAAAGTTTCGAAATAGTTTTATGAATCTCTTACCCCAATGAAAACCATAGCGTTTTTAAGGTATTGTAGCTATGGAGAAAACTTCTTTACCTACGGGAAACAAAGCCAAAACAATTGTCCACCCTAGAGTGTCTGCTTTACCCCCGGTCCTCCAACCTAGAATCTCCAAAGTCACAAAAACTCGGCAGGAACATGGCTTGTTTTCCTTGACGCCGTTTCCTGCCCCGCGAAGCCATCAATTTATGGCACTTCACGCGCCTTTTTCTGATTGAGCATTTTGAAAAGGCTGGAGTTCAAAGCACCTTGTTGGACCGAAATAGTTGTACATGCCTATTAACCCACCCGCCAATTATAAGAAAAGTGTTTTTGGCTGCAACCTTCTGCTGCTTTATAAGAACGGTGGGGGACGGTGGGCCACTCAGCTTCGACGGCAACTAAAGATCATTTGGGGGCTTTGAATTTAATTTTCCTACAGGTTTGCAATTGCTGACTTAACCAGATGCCGAAGTTTGAGGTTCAAATTCTGGTCCATGACGTTTGGGAAAAAAGCTGAGGAACAAGAAAGGTTGTAAACGGATTGAGCGCAGGTGATATTGTTACGCCGGGGTATTTGCGGTTGAGGGGGATTTTTCAACAAAAAGATCATACGGTCAGGGCGGAGCCAACTGTAATCAGTTCCTTCTAACGCCCTCTTCAGGGAAAGTATTACTCGCTTTCCAAAGGGGTAAAGCAATCCTTAGCGGGCCATCGGGTCCGCTCTGCTGCTGTCTTAAGATTCCGTCCATCAAGTACGTCATTTTAATAATCCACCCCCTTCCCTTTTTCTCTCTCTCGAGCTCATGGAAGGGGTTATTTGCCCACGCTTCGTCCCAGATCTTACTCCCTCTTTCGCGCGCCGGCTATTTCAAGCCCTTTCGAAATGGATACCTAATTCCCATCCCTTATTCAACGCACATCCGTCCCCGCACACCATACCCCTTTAAACATGAGCAGCAAAAAGTTGATGGTGCACCCCCCCCCCCTTGTCTCCTCCCGGTCGGCATCACTTTGGGATCCCTAATTAGGCCTCGACCAAGCCCTTCATCTTTCCCTCGAATTTTTGCCACCAGTACCTACAGGCTTTTTCTTGGCAAATAGCTGCCTTGGATCCTCCTCGGTGCTCAAAACTAGGGCCCCTCAGAAATAACGTGTTTTTGCAGACTTAATTTCGGCTTTCCATTGGTCTGAAAACCCAGGCCATTCATTTGTGGGACGGGAACGGGGAAGTGTTTCCTTCAGCTGTGTCTTCCTTATTTTATAGCCACAGTACAATTCACATTCGCCTTTCCAGGTACCCCCAACAATATCTAAAAAATGAGACGGTTTCTGTGCGTGCTCATGTTCATCTGCTTGGCCCAACTCTGTCTCGTGCAGGTACGGTAGAACATGTTTTTGGCTTTATGTGATGATAATTGGGTGGCTGTACAAAGAGCCACGGCATGTGCACATAGTATTGGGGGATTAATCCGAGGTAAAAACTAATCTCCCATCTTTTCAGGTAGCGAACGCCGCGCCCGGGATGGCAATGACGAGGATTCAGGTAGAGAGCTGTTTTTGTGATATCTCCTTCAATCATTCATTCCCAAATACCCACGTGGCTCTATTTGGGGGCAAGGCTTTATTATGTGAGCGCCATAGAGGGTTCTCAGAGAAGTCACGAGGGCTTAAAATTTCACTGTTTGGGACGTCGGTCTGGGTTTTTAGAGACCTCGAGGTATTACGTTAGTGAGCTATTCGAGGGTAACTAGGTAGACTAACGTGTGGAATGAGAAAGGGCACTAGATGGGATAAAACAGATTATTAAAGTAATTATTTTTAGGGCTTATCTCGCCTGACGTACTATAATGCAAAAATACACTTTATTTATGCTTTTTGCAAAAGACTCTTGCTATATTTACTCGTCCGAGAAGCATTCTGCTTGAACGGCCTGCAATCCTTGACCGAGCAAATCGAGGGTTTTCCAAAAATAACAAATTCCTAATCCTAGCCATGCCACGGAAGCCTTGGGCATTCACATTGCAACTAACCTTTCCCATTCCCAAAAAAAGCCCCAGCAAAAAGGCAACGCAAAGGGAATATGATGTGTGTTTTTTTGCAGGAAGTGTTCCGCTCGTTAGGCGCGAACAAAGAAGGGCGCCCCAAGAAGTATTTCTTGGAGCCGATCTATGGTGTTGAAGATGCCGGATGGTAGACGTTGAACCACGCAGGACGTAATGCGCAGCATCTCATCCCGATCTCAACCCCTCCCCTTCACCCGCCTCTTCAAATTTGACGCCCTCAGATTAGCTCCAGGATTGCCTTCCATCGCCCGGTTCATCGCAAATACAAAAAAACAACATACGAAACGGACAAAACCCCCTCACCCCCAAAAAACCCCTTTGTGATTGTGATACTAGTCATTCAGCAAATCATACTACTTCCCTTTTCAAGCGTCACCCCGTGGCATCTTCTCCTTCATAGCAATTCCTTCCTCTTTACTCGCACCAGTGGCACGATAAAGCATTGAAGTGTTTTTGAGGGAATTGGGCTGGGGAAACGTTGGATGAGTGAATATTTGAAATACTATCATGTTCCCAATTACAAAATACACCGCAAATCAGCTCCAAGAAAACAGTTTTAAGTATTTGGCAGAACGAGGACGAAGTGTTCAACAATGTAAATACATTTCACCTACGAGAACAACGGCAAAAAACGTTAGATTAAGCGTCAATCTGATCGCTCAAAGTTCAGGATCCAACTGGCGTTGGTGGTTTGTGATCAAGTTTACATTGATACAGCGACCGCTGAAAATCAGCGTGTTCAACGATAAACCGCCTTGCTAATTATTCTACTAATTTTAGACCATAAATTATGGAACGTCAACTCTAAGCTGTAACCACTGGCTTAATCTGAAACATTTTCCGCCTACCATAGGACCCCCTTCATGCTATCCGTTAGCCCGCTACACACCAATACAACTTCCACTCAAACCCTGCCACTAATCCACATAACATATGGCATAAGAAGGGCTAATGCGAAGATCAATCCCTTGGTTTCTGCCAAAAATGGTTTAATCTCACCGTTTTTGGAGCTGCCGCCAGCTAGGCTTTTTCAATTCAAAATTAGTCGCTTCCACGTCTCAAAGATGTCGGGGAAAAAGAAGAAAGCCGCTAAAAGCGTGTCCCCTGTCGAAGAAGAGGTTTGATACAAAAACTTAACGAAAAAACACAAAACTTTAGGTCGGCAGCCAATGGGAGTGTTCGGTTTGTACATACATCAATCGGTTCGAAGCGTTCAAGTGTGAAATGTGTGATACTAGGTGAGTTAGCAAAAAATGAGCCAAGAACGAACATTTTAGAAAAGGCACCTCAACGCGGAAGCCTCGCTTAAATGAAAATGTCGTGGAGACGCAAAAAGTTGTAGAGAATTTTATTATACAGCAGCAACATATCCCGAAGATTGCCAAGTAGGTTAAAGCATAAAAAAATTATTTATTTTGTAGGCGCAAGCTAAGCGATGTCGCTGGCACGGACCAACCGGGATGTTCTAGACTTCCGCCATTACCAGAAGTGCCTGAGCTACATTTTCCAAGTAATATCGTTAAACTTAACAATGAATAATGATAATTAAGTGCTGGATACTGCATTGGACCCGCCTCTTCCGAAGCGAAAACATATCCCGTTACCGGATCATTTAATTGACAGGAATAAGTTTATTCAGGTTTGTTTTAAATTATGTATTTAATTTTATATAAAGGCCTCACTATATAACTTTTTTAAGGTGGAAGTGGTCGTGAACAACGTTAAAGCCCTCATTACCGAATTCCGCCCAAGGAACCCTCCGCCGTTAAGCTGGTTCCAAAGCGACAACCCACCACCTGATCCAGCCCAATGAATATTTCCTAGTCTTGTTCACATTCTAGATACCTATTCACTTCTATGATTTTCCAATTTTGCTTGCCGTGAATGCCGATTTTGAATTTTGGGCGTCGCCGTCAACACAAAGTGCAATGAAACCGCTAACCGATCTCTTAACTTGTTTTTTTTTGCATTACAGCGGTTGTATTTACATTTGCTGGATATAATCAGTGTTTTTTTCATGCTTGTTCATTATAAAGGCTTGATCGGAGCGTAGCTTTTCAGTTTATAGCAGTCCTGGTTTGGACTGAAATACATTCATTTGGGAATTTTTTTTTGGTGAATAAAGGGAATGTTATTATTTTGTGAACACCTTTACACAAAATGCAGGGGCCTTGTGCAAATACGTTTACATTTTAAAGCATCGATTTTGTGAAGAGATTTGACTAAAGTCGGGATCAGTCTCAATCTGGATGGACGGAGGAAGATCCGCTGACTACCCATAAATTATCGCTTATGCGCGAGATCGTTGAGGTCGATTGTTGCGTATGGAAATTGCTTCCTATAGCTATAGGTTCGTTATATGTACAACTATGATCAGTAGGTTCAAAAAATCAATGAAATTATTACATTTTCACTCTTCCACTTTCACGTCAATCTCGGTCCCTGTATATGCGTCTGAAATCCAGATTTTTCCAGGATTTGTGAAAATCGTGAAACCGAATGTTTTCAAACAACGAGAGAGCAACGCTTTTCCTTTCCTCGGTTATTGTAAATTTTAATTCTGATCTCTTCACTGCAATCTCTATAAAAGGGGCTGATTTATGCGAGATCCGTATGTTGATTACCATCATAAAAAAACGCATCAGTAATTGCAGGGCAGGAAGCGCGTTTTTTTAGCTTTTTTTTACCGAGTTTCGAATGGTTTCAAAACACGTTCTAATCCTACTATATCGAAAAAAAATAGTGTCTGTGGGTGTATATGACACTCTGCATAACTTCCGTCAGCATGTCCGGAGGATATCTCAAGAGGGAAAGGGATGAAGGGAGACGCGTAATGGCCTGTAGATGACTGCACGCATATCAGATTTTTCAAAACCGATTGTTTTCGACACTAAAATTATTTTTCCTTACAAAATCGGTCATCCTCTTTGTTAAGAAAAAATTAGCATATACCGGAAATGGGAGTAGCCTATATAATCGGGGTAGCCCGCGCTTTCCATTTTTTGACATAAAAACGCGGAAGGTTTATGCAAAGCGAGGGATATCATCGGGTTGGAGGGGGCCAGGGTTGAAAAGTCGCGAAGCGGCTTTTCAACCCTGGTATCCGTTTAAAATATACTAACTCATTTTCCTGAAAAACAGCGGAGCTAGGCTTACTGATCAACTCCTAGTTATTTAGACATAGCTGCGCTGATTTTTAGTACTCCCCGCAGCTTGCCACAATTTGCATATCTGTTGCTATTGCCATATCCAATCCCCCACTCGGATTGCCATATGCCCGATATGGAGAATGAGGAGCGGATTTGTGTCAACAGGACTGGGGGCCCAGAATTCACACCTGAATACCAGTATCTGGCAGGGGCAACGCCTGAGGCAACAAAATGCAGGCTGCTCCATCTACACCATTTGTCACCATCAACAGGTGGTAGGTTCACTGGATCTGTTAGTGGGATAATTCCAAGGTTATCTTAGGACGAATCTTGTCCCACTATCAAACATAAAATAAGTTTCAGTGTGTATGTTCACATGCAAATTCCATCAGCATGCTGCCAATATTTGAAGGGATCAGGAAGGCATAAAACGGCGTTTAGTTCTAAAATTGGCGTAAATCTTCTCTAATGCCTCCTGCCTCCCCCCTCTCCCTGCCCAGTTTTAGAATTTGCATTCCCGGTTAGCTTGTTGCCTGACCTGCTAGGCCTTCCTGATCCCCTTTAAACAGCGGAATAATTTTCAAATACTCTTTAATGAAATTCATGACTTGCCTAGTGGTTCCGTGTTTTTGTTCCTAGCGGTATATTTTTTATATACGACTATTTTTATAGTTGAGAATATCCCGGTCAATTCTTACGAAACCGCTACGCGGTTTTCAGGGATAGGACTTCTGAAATTTTCACTTTGCATGGCTCCGCCCGAATCGTCGGTAAAAAATATAAAACCACGGTCTTGCACCTTCTATAGACTGGCCATTTTTGGCGCATGCAAATTACTCCGTAACCGCAAGGGTTACCGTGCCGACTAAACGGGAATTTTCCTACGGACAACTATTTTTTGTAGCCATCTGATACTTTTCGGCAGTCGAGGCTTGGCCCTTTTCCCACGCAAACAAGAAAACGAAACGAATGAATCGGAAATAATTTTTACAAGCCCCCGAAACATAGCTGCCAACAACTATTATATTCTTTAAAAAATGAGTATTTGCTCTACGACTTCCGCGAAAAGCCAATATACCCCGAGCCCACAGCAACCGAAAACGCGGCTTTTAATCAATCTCCACTCTCGATATACCGTATTGAGTGCTCAGCGGGGGGTCTCGCCCGCACTGGCTCGCTGACACCTAATTCCACTCAAAATATGTGGGAATAGTTTGCGGCTTGCGGATAACTTTTTGTCAAGGTTACCTCCGGTCCGATGAGAAAAACGGAGCCGGGTACACTGGGAGATTATGCGGGAATCGGTTGACCTCTACGTCGTTTTTATTGATTTTACTGGACTTTCAAAAAAAAAGCCTAGGTCTTTTGAAATCAATGAATTAACATTACTCAAGGGAATGAATAAAAATTGTATTCTATGTTGTTGCACCTTACGAGGGACCAAGAAGCCGCGCGAGCCTGGGGACAGGATGAAGACAAAGTGCCGTCGATTAGTCACTGCTTTGCAATTGAGGGCTCACCGCTTCGCAACACCTTTATCCGGGGCCAGCTGAGTGATGACGCGCTCGTGGCTGGTGTCCTCGATTTGGGTTGAAAAATGAGGCTCGAATTTGGGCAGATTTTGGGGTGAAATTGAGGGAAGGGCGGAGGAAGCGCTAAAATAATGCTGCATAAAAAAAGTGTTAATACGGCATTTTTTTAGGTGTAGCAGCTGCTGCAAAAAAAGTACATTCGCTACCGGAACTAATATTCCTTGGCCATTGATATACATTTTTAGGCCTGTCATCACACCGGAGACGATTTAAAACCAAAAAATATTTTTTTATAGCAAGACCCCCCCCCCCCCTATGGACCTCTTCAACCCCTCCTAATGTCAGGATCTTGAAATCAGCAGTTTCCTCCCTCCCTCCCTTGATCTGATATCACTCACTATCCACCTGTCGGTCTGTCGAGACGAGGATTGTCTTCGCCCCATCAAGATACCATAAACAATAGATTATCGCCGGGGCGCGAGGCCATCGGCCTTTGATATCAATATTATAGCCCTGTCAGAACAGCCGACTGGCTAGCAGCTCTGAAATTGTAGTTATACAGCGGTGATCAGTGAGTATAGTGATCGTTGGCAACATCGGAAAAAGACACTTGGCCAATCCTGTTTATTCGTTGTATATTAGAGTCGATATGACATTCAACAACAGATCAAAAGTCATAAATATTTGAAAGACGAAAAAATCATCGAAGCAGTTTTTTCGTGCTTGCCTCGACACGACGGAACGAACGACGCCGTATCCTAAGGGCATAAGCAACTAACGTCCGTTCGTAGTGATCAAAGTAGTGCCGGCCTTGTTCACACTTCGTCACAACAATGTGACAAAAAGCCCCGATTTCCATGTCGACACGGTGTCAATAGGCCCTGAGGGCAGCTAGACCTGAGGATATAACCTGAGGCGAGTTAGGTAATCCTCAAAGGGATCAGGTGATTGCATAGAAGACCACTTTTCATAAAGTTTAAGTAGGTCAAATGGATATTGAGGAGCATCAGTCGGAATTTTGTGTCTCTCTGCCCTTGATTTTGCAAATATTAGCGAAATGTTACCGCGAAAACGTGTCGTTCGATTTGTCGATTAAAATGAAAATCATGCCAAATAAGAAAAATGTGCGCTTCGAATTTATATATAAAATGCTCAAGCTATACTACACGCCCTACCGCGCTCTATCGTTCCAATACAATTTTTACCCAACTCCCTCGTCGCCCTTCTTCACCACCTCCTCATCCTCATGACAAAAAACTGGTAATTTCCTGAGAAAAACATGACCATTCATCAGAAGGGTGAAATGTTTTTCACTCCCTTACAGATTCTCTGTATGCCGTCGAGGGATGAATAGCTACTATCGCTGGTTGTCGTAGAAAGAGAGAGAGAAATCCTAGCTACCGTCAGCCGCTCCGCCCCCCTTCCCCCGTTAGTGGGTGTGAGGTGGAGGCGGTGCCAGCAGCAGCTTTGGCCATACACCCTCCTTCCTCCTCCTCCCCCCTTTTCTGTACCCACCATCGTCATCATCTCCAACTGCTTACATCCGCACTGCTGGAGTCCATCTGGATGCACGCCTCCCCTTACGAATACCCACGGCCTGATAGGCCGGATGGCAGCTTGAAGCCGTCGCCCCTTGGCGAACATTATATTCAGAGCTACGCGTATGCGGGAATTTTACCGCAAGGTGATTATTAAAGAATTATAGTGCTCGTACTAATAGAGATTTCGTAAAATAATCGTGTTTTCGGTGTTTTTGGAGTGTAACTCCAATAATACTTGTTGTTTCTTTCATATTACTTGTTAGCTCCAGATATTTATTTTTAATCACATGCGTATTCCGGTAACGTCCATAGAACTTTCTAAAAATTAACTGAAAAATTTCGTTATTACTGTTTTATCATACTTGTAGTTAATTCAGAACCGAGCCGACATTGAGCAGACACTCAAAAGTCTGATTTTTTCACATCAGAATAGAGGCTTAAAAATTTCCAAAAATACAATAAACTAAAGAAACCCATTAAAAATAAACCCAAATAAAAGTAGCTTAAATTTAGAACACTTCCCTGCGGGATCCTCATTTCAATACCAAGGATACCCTCCCGAATTATTGCCGCAGTTCCTTGACCCACGATTCCCGCCCTACCTCACTCCGGCGGAATTTCAAAAGTAAGTAAACACCTAAATTTTTGGTATCCCTTCTCATGCCCCTCAATGTTTACTTGACATTGCAAAATCCGTTAAAATGCCGGCACATCCTTGCCTTCGTGTATCCGGGGGCAAGCCAGTCCATCCCATTACCGTACCCCCATCCCCCCTTGCGCCATGCAAACAAGCCGCCACCACAGCTCAATCTCCTTCCCCCTGATCATCAATCGAGCCACCGTGTGCTCATGCTCTCCTCCAAAAGCATCCACCTACCCCGCCCTTCGATTCCCACCCGCAACCCAATAGAAACCGCCGGGGCTTTGCCAAGGCGGATGGTCTGAATGGCATTCGCAAAGCTAAGAGAGGCACGCAAGTTGGCACAGGCGTAAAAGGCAAAATGGCCTTGGTAGTGCATACCCGGGGCCTCGGGTTTCCTTTCTTCTAGGCGCCCATTTTTCCGCGAAAAGTTGGCTTTTTCAGGTATCCGCCCGGGTTTGCCCCGTTGCCGGATGTGCAGGAGCCGAGAATATGTCGATGGGTTAATGATGTGGGTTTTTTTACTGGATAGTTAGAAGACTAGAAAACCTTTGCAAAATGGTCAATTCGGAACAACATTTGCATTAATTAGAGACACAATCTGTAGCATGTGGGAAGTCGAAGATTTTGATATCATACCTTCCCTTTGGTGTTAAAAAAATGTAAAATATCCGGAAAAACCTGTAGAACCTGTAGAAGTCGTTGAAAATATAATGTAAAATGTAAAAGACGAGCACTTTGGCGTATTCACAAACCATTTTTCTGCAGATTTGACTTTACATCCTAATTAACATATTATTCCGACGTCACCTCCAAATGCGTCACCTATCTAGCGCTAATCCACCAAAATTCAAAAGTCAACGATTTAAATATTTCCATCTTTTAGAACGGTAAAGAATGCGGCCAAAAATTCCACACAACCCTCGATATCAACACGCACCTCACGAACCACCACATTGGCCACACCGAAAATTTTGTCTACGTGTGCCAATGGAAGAATTGCGACCGAACCGAGAAGAACTTGCATTTTAAGGTACCACCTATCATTATCCCCCTTTACCCTAAATTCTAGGCTCGCTACAAGCTCGTCAACCACGTGCGGGTGCACACCGGGGAGAAGCCGTTCAAGTGCCAGACGTGTTTGAAGCATTTCGCGCGGTCAGAGAATTTAAAGATCCACGCGAGGACGCATACCGGTTAGTCCGTTGCAAATGCAAAGTCGGGCCCTGTGTTGAATAACTTGTGGTGTTGATCCTGTGAAATCCTATTGGGAGGGGTGGAGAGGTTGGGGGTGGAGAGCGAATCTGGGCTAAATCTCGTGGTATTAGGCGTCTTGGGAAGGTATGTACTGTAAGGGGGTGTAGAAAGTACGTCTTGGGCCTCTACGAAGAATCAAAACTTTTGAATATTTGACTTAAGCGATATATTGTAAACTCAAAGCTTCAAAAAAGAGTATTTTCGAGTCAACATTTCTAGAATTCAAGATATCATTTAATTCGTTTTCAAGCATGTGCATCTCGACCTTTTCCTAGAATTTTGCAGGAAGCTCCTTGATCCTTATTCTTACTTTTCCCATATCCTCTAAATCAAGTCCCCATCTCCCCCGACCCGCTATGTAAATCTTAGCGACCGCTGGGGACTAGAAGAGGCAAGCCTAGCGGTCGTTTACAGTCTCTGGTTGGGGGGCATTTGGATGGCTTGGGCTATTCACCTGATTGGGGCAATGAGATGCAAAATGGACGGGCTATAGCGGTCAGCCCTTGCAATAGATGCTCCTTTTATTTGGATGAGGAGGATCTCGGGCTGGAACTTTTGGGGAGTCGGGACGAGATCTTGGATTGGAATTTATTTATTTTGCAGCTGCCCATTTATGATGCCAAACCCCAAAAAACACCGGGTAATTACGAGGGTAGTTAGGAGCCGGTGGTTGCATGTGTGTGCGGGTGCTTGAGAACCAGCGCGGCCGCAGCTTTGATCTACCGTAGGACAATGGGGCACGGGTGTGCGGATGAGATCAGCGTGGTGATCGTAGGGAAAACATGACTTGCGCAATGATACACCCAACCGCACATCTTCGTGCGGTTATTAGCTTGGCTTTATGGGCTTTGAATAGATCTCCGAATTCATTTAGCACGGGTTCTGATAAGGAATTTTTATCCGACAGTATTTATCTAAACGAAAAAAACGCCAGTTATTCTTTACAAATTACATTACACTTGACGTTGTCCTACACCTCGGGGATCGAGAAACTTTTTCAAATAGAGAAAAACGTTCTTAGGTGCAGAATCAACTGCTGACTTATAAGATTTTGCTATGATTCACATCCTTGCGATAAAAGTTAGTTTTTTAGTTAGTTAGTTGTATTTTAGTTTTACGAACACCGAGGGGAGCCAGCTGTATTGAGACGAAATTAGCATGCGCCGGATGAAGGGTTGGCCTCTAAGGAAGGACTAAACTTTCATTTTTTGTATTTCGGGTTTGGAAAGAACTATGCAAAGCGAGGACGGGGCACTGGGCTCAGACGAGACCGGGGTTGTAAAGCTATAAAAATAAATTATAAAGTAAATTCCACAACTCCAATTTAATCCTTAACTCCAAAAAGTCCGTTCCGTTTGCAACTCTAGTCGAAATAACCAATATCGAACCCCCAACTCCCCTCTCTCCCCGAGCTTCTGGACCCCAACCCCCAACGACAATTACGAGTTGCACAATGACCCAGCCCCAGCAGTTTGGTGCTAATTGCCCGCTTGGGACTATTGTCGACACTTCCTGCAGGTCTCGGGTTGCGGCATCGTGGCCCACACGCGGCTTATGAGGTGAACGGGCCCAAAACAACCCCAATAACCCTCTAGCCCAATTACCCCCGCACCTAGACCCACTAATTCGGAAGCGCCAAACAAGATTTCGAAAAATCTGTGCCAGATAAACCGCATTAATTCACGAGGATCACCGGGTGAAAAATTCCCCACCCCTGTCGCCCATTTCACACGCAGACATCTGCCGAGCGGTTGACAGACCCTTCAAATCCGATTTCGGGCCACCATCGAAAATATTGAGGGCATGAAAAACCGACCACCCCACCTCCTCTTTTTTCGAGGGAACCCCACCGATTTTCAGCTACCTTCACATGCAAATTTTTGCCGTTCTAGACACGGCGGCATCTCCAAAGAGCCTACCGCGCAGCCCATTTCGTTAACTGTCCTGATTTATTTTGACTCACCGCCAACCCCCCGACCACCAACCCGGTCCCTATGCCCTACCAGGACATGATCCAGGGGACCCCTAATTTACAGTAAGACCCAATCCCAGGGGTGGTCCGGATTAGCGAAAAATGCCCGCGGCAATTGTATCATTTTCACTAGTCTTACCCTGTCTTACCACCTGTACCCGAGGGCCCAAAACGGCCACCGGCAATGCTATACAAATAGTTTGGCCCATCCAAACGATTCCCCTTCAGCAGGTTATTGAAAAAATTTGGCAACGTGGCACCCCGCTGCGGGGGGTGAACTGACGGCGCAAATATTGATTTGATGTGGGCAATTTAGGGGAGAAACCGTTCAAGTGTGTGGTGAAGGGTTGCGAGAAGATGTTCGCAAATTCGTCGGACCGGAAGAAGCATATGCATGTGCATCAGAGCCATGAGGTGAGGGTTTGGGTTGTGAGGGTTTTTATGTTTTGGTCAAATTGTAAATGTATTTTTCTAGGTTCAGCCTTATCGATGTCGGGTGAAAAACTGTCAGAAGACGTATACACATCCGAGTAGTTTGAGGAAACATATGAAGGTTGGTAGAAGATTTCTATTAAAAAAACGGTTGGTGATACCTATATATACATTGGCTTAGCAATTTGGTCTTGATATTAAGTTTCTGCGTAATATTTTTACGCCTAACGTTAGTAACTCATTTATATACCTTGCTAGCCGCATTAATAGTAGTTAATGAATGCACAAGGCCCCAAGCATGTAACAACGTTTGAAGTACCCTCGCCAAGGGCCAATGATTGTTCGGGGGTACAAATGGTAAGGTCCCAGATCTTGCACAACGATCTCTCCAATTCGCACCTCACTCGAGTCGAGGGCCCGACCACCGGAAGATAGGCATCATCCAGCCGAGATACGCCGGATTAAGGCCCCCTTCAGCTCGAGCTGACAGCACCTACCGGCACCTGTCCAGCCACTCATCACATTGCCCAATCATTTTTTGGTATTAGTGGCAGCGCGGAGTTGGGGGAATAATCGAAGCGCTTGGCACCTTTTATGGAGTTGTAACTGTTTTTTTGAGACATTCGAGACATACAATAATAACTTCCTGTTTTGGTCTCAGAGTTAGCGCAGCTGCATGAATAGGTAATTCTCCTCACCATTCCAGATGCACGAGAAAAATAATGAATACCCCGACCTCGACGAAAGCGGTGATTCCGGCCATTGCTCTTCAGCTACACCAGCCGGAAGTGCCGGATATTCCCCAAAACAAGACATCCAGGTATACAATTATTACCCATCCCTTATCTTATCTTTATTTTTAGTTTGAACCCCAATTCGGTCAAACTCTCCAACCACAAGACCTTCAGCTCCTCGAATCGAAAGTGGAACTCCCCTGCTTTACCGTACCCCCGCCCCAATTCGCCGACCTCAACGTCCCCCATTTCTATCCAAACTACGAAAACTTATACCCGGCCATGTAATTTATTCGCCAGGCAGGATTAAGAGAAATTGCGTTTTAGCCATAAGCTCCACATTAAATCTTAGGCCCTTCTAGTCTTCCCTCAATCCGCCTGGAATTTTATTGAGCCTTTTCTTAATTTATCGCTCATGTATTGATTTCTTTATCACTAGCTTACTGGCAGTTGGCTGTATATTCCCGTTGCGTGTCCATTTCATTGCTCCTCTCCTTCCCTTGAAACCTCGCACTTACATGACGTTTTCAAATCCGGGTAGCCGTTTTCTCAACAAAATGAAATTCGTCCGATCGATGACCCCTGATTCTCGCGGTGTGGCTTGCTTTAAATTATTACTCAATTTCTATCGCGTTGTTTCGTGTTGCTCAAATAAAGCTCTATCGAAGTTGGTGTGAGGGCATGTTGCCACTAAGGTGTTTATTTGCGAAGGGATGGCGGTTGGGGGTTAGAAGGTGGGTTGGGTTGGGGGGGGGAGGAAGGATACTGTGCTCAAATATTTCCTGGGATGTTCTTTGTTGCGTAACTGGGTGGACACTTGACACCGGCGTTCGGTCAGATGTTCAAATCTCATTTTTGGGCATGGGATCGAGATGTGGATAGGTATGGGAACAGGACCAACCTATAAGGGTATAATTTTCAATTTTTTTTAATTGTTCGTCCTCACCGGATTTTTGAGCATCTCCTCATCTTCTGTAAATAGCGGCATTAATTAAGCCCAACTGTGCGCAATGCCTAGTTGCGTATCCTAACGTCGCCTAGTGTACCATAGCTGACGTAGCGTAATAGAGTGTTCCCTGACGTAGAGTGCTGCAATATACACGAGCCTCGCGGAACGGATTGTATCTCATCGTGGCGTAGAGTTGCATATGGTAGTGTAGCGTAACCTCTTGTAGCGTAGCATTTCGTAGCCCAGCGTAGGGTAATGTAGTTGTTCTTAAGTTAACCTAGAACAGGTCAATCCAGCGTAGAGGATGGAAGTGTAGTCTAATATAGCGCATCGAGTTTAGCTAGCGTCTAGCGAAGTCTAGGCTTAGCATGTAGTGCAGCCCACCACAACCGAATAGGGTGTAGCCTACCATAGCCGAGCGCACCGGCGTGCATTCATTTTTGACTTTAAAAACAGAACGAATTTACTATTGCTCAATTTTCATAAATCGATAAATAACACCCAACCTTATTCAAGAAATCCAAATCCACCCAGCGACCCGCACCTAATCCGCTAAACGTGAAATTTAGTGAATGACATTGTGAGTGACACGGAGGCTATGGGATCCGCAGGTGGGGCTCCTTGAGGATTTGGGAAAGTTGGCGGAAATTTTCCCAGCCCGTCGCCTCCATGATCCACAGCCTCTAGGCAAGACCCGAGCAGCAGCCGCGACCGGTTGCATTTATCAAAAGGAGACGATGAAAAGGAGGCCGCCACTCTCCGCACCCCCACGGATACGTACACACACAACACCTCGCCCTGGATACCTGCCCGAAATTCGCAACTTGGACATCAAAGGTTTCCATTCAATTTAGCTATGTAATATTCCTTCAGAAATATGGATATAAATAACATAACATAATATTGGAATATATTGTTTGAGCCCCGCGAAAAACTTAGAGCATTTTTCCGATGCTCCATTGATCGTTGTTTTAAAAATATCGTAACTCTTCAAAAATAGCGTTCTCCTTATTTTAAAAATTCAAAACCGCTTTTCGTCAATTTCTCTATCCATTAAAAAAATACCCGGCAATCCTTCATGCTCGCCAAAATTTAAATCGAATAAATCGAAAACATGAAAACCATAAATTTATTCTCTGGTGCGCAGCTTTATGCACCCAGCATCCAAAACACAGAATTTGAACACGACACAATGCGGAATGAGATTTACCAGATCCTGAAAGATGCGGAATAGCTAGCACGTTTTGACACTCTAAGCTCAGCAAGCTCACTGGGTTTGTAGCAAAATGGCGGGGGATGGACAATAATCATAATTCAGGCACAGAATGCATCGAATCACGGCAGCAAAATTCCCTCATCGTCCTTCTTTAATAAGGAGTCTAACACTTTTCGGTCGGCGTTCACATCATCGCCTAATTGCTCTTGGACACGTTTCACCTAAAAAAAACTAGGTTACGTTAGGTAATTTTGAGGAACCTGTCGCTTGTGAGCCATTCTTTCACAGATATGCAAAATCAGACACATGGGTATGACGCTGAGGACACCGACGGGCCCCATTAAATACGCCTAAATTATCGTTATTTTAAGAATGAAATTAAAAAAAATGCACCTTATTGTTATAATAGGAAAGGACACGTTCCGTTTGAAGTTCTGAGCAGAATGGGCCGACCCATGGCTAAAAATAATAATTGTATCATTATTGCATTGATGTTAGTATAATTATCAGTATAAAAGTCATAATACTTCAACTTCCTAAAAATCTAATACAGATGGCGTAACATGGTTCACATTAAAGTTTCAGCGTAGAATTCAGGACATGAATAAATTGATATTATTAAGTAATTGGTAAAAATATATTCTTTATTGGATTCTAATTGATGGATTATACCGTAAGTCTCAGATAAATAAGGTGACAAGGTTTTTAAATCTCAAAATCAGGCTACAAACCTTTTCACAAATACATTTCAACCCAGTCGGGTCAACCTCGCCATGCTCACACATAATATCTTCGCAAAATGGACCAGCATAACCGGTCGAGCACGACAAACACCTAACATTTGCTTTTTTTTCATACCCTAAAGCACCTACGTTCCATTCCGATATCTCCTAAATGTTGCGCAGTTTTTCTTCTTCTCGCAATGCTTTCCAACGAATTCGGAATCACATACGCAACGCCCAGAATCGTTTAATTCACCATTTACGCATCTTAAAATAGTTTTGTATCTTGCGATCACGATGCAGCAACCAAAATACGTGTTAAAACCACCTTATCAACCCCAAAAATATAAGTCGCCGTTGGTTGCAAGTGCCGTAGCCAAATGGTGCGGTGAGAAAAAGGCGGTGCAGAGGAAACTAACTTGTTAATAAACTGGGACGGCGTCGTTCGGAATCTAAAGCAATAGGGAAGAATACAGTGTGGGGAAAAGAAGCTATGGATAGTCGAAAAATAAGAATGGCTTGAAGGTATTTTAAGGCGAGCAAGAAAGGTGCAACATAATAAGCAAATTTGAGGAAAGCGAGACAAGGATTTGTTGAACTTACACGACACGTCGCTTCGGGTGGTGGGTGACAGATTCTGGAGGTACAGAGTCTTCTTCTGCCGTGACTTTGATCACAAAGAAGAACAGGAATATTGTAAACCCTGTTGAGAACTGCATCTGGAAATAGATTTTCTAAGGCGGAAGCTATAAAATAAGGTCTTCAATATCAAATTCTGCTTAAAAGTTACTTTAATATGATGCCCACAGTGTAATCTTAGAATTTTCAAGACGTTTGTATGAGGGGAATAAGGAAAAACGGTGGTTTTGTGCCGTATTGTTGTGTGAGTAAATACAGTGCGTCGAAATTCAAGGTCACCGAACAAATTTCGGGGCAGTAGTGGTGACGCGCGGATCTTGAAGGGGATGGGGGGGAGATTGGGCTAAATAAATTGTCCTTCCGGAGGAATGTTTGGAGTTTGCTATTTACACTGTTTGATGAATCACTATAAGGGGGTAAGTAGTACTTATGATGCGTTGGGTTCATGCAAAACAAGAAATATGTCAAAAGTACAATAGAGAGGAAGTACGGAGACGGCATATATTCATAAAATATAGAAAACTTTGAGGTGAGTTATTTAGCACAACTATTTTTCACCCAAAGTCAACAAAATTGAGCTCTTTTCGATTCAATTTAATTTTTGTGAAATTGCGGACGGACTTTAGTAGTCAAAAATTGGCATAAACCGTAAGTGGGGATAGCTTATATAAAAGGACGCAAAAAAACTTTAAAATTTTTATAGATGTTCTGGAATAATTATACAAAGCTCTGGTTACCATCAAACAATGAAGTGGATAGTACAAAACAGAAAGAACTAAGACTTGTAAAATACTTTGAAACGAAAACCAAATGGTCGATTGGGCGCGATTTTCTTCCAAAACTTACTTTGGAATGCTGTCGATTGTCCGTAGTAAAATAAAATGTACAGCAACTAGCGCGACCAAACCAGCCTAGTTAAACCCGCTCAAAAGCAAGGTGGTTAGATTATGGATCCGTACCTGACGGGACTGTTTTTTCGCCACTCGCCGAACGGAGCGTCCCCTTCTCGGATATTAAGGCAATAAATAACCCGTTCTTCCCCCCCCCCTTCCCCAACTCGAAGACCATGCGCTTTCTAGGCCCGGACCGTGAAAAGGGGAGAACGACTTACAGTGTGTGTATTTTCGGAGAAAAAGACGTAGGGGTAATGGGTTGAGGAGAGGGTAGACGTCGGGATGTTTGGGGTTGATGCTCTGTTTGGGGTGAGATCCATCGATAGGATTGGAGAGGGTCGAGATCTCTCGGAAAAGCCATGAATCAATCCTCTTTTCCTTTCACGCTGCCCCGCGGTCTTCGCATCCGCTCACCATAAATGTGCACAGAAACCTGGCGGGGGTGTGGGTGGATGGCCTATGGATGTACTCCTTTTTCTTTCTCCCTCGGTCAATCTCGTTAATAGAGACTATCAATCACTATTGGCTGGTCGATCATGGTATGTGTACGAACGTCAGAGAAAATTCTCCGGGCAGGTGCAGCCGAGTAAAGGTTATAGTTAAGGATTTAGAGCTTCAAGGATTTAACCAGCTTAAAGCTAAACTATTCCAATTTTTTTATTTCTTTAACTATTCTGAAACCGATAACAATTTGTAATTTGCACTACTGTAACATGTTACCGGAACGTGCATGCAAACGCAGCTTATTTTTGTCAAAAACACTATTTGTATATATCGTAGGATGGCTTACAAACTCAATTTTGAATGTCTACGGGAAAAGACAATAAATATTTCAGTTACGCCTTTTCGTAAAGGGCAAAAATAAGGGGCATAAGTAATGTATTGCAACCTTATCTAAACTATACCGGACCTGGCCCCAATGTGGACAATCTCAGAATACAATATGGAAGTCGATGGCACTTGTGGCTGTGGAAACGAAATGTTCAGTGTTTGCGAATTGCCGTGAAAGGGGCCGAGCAGCATTTGTGGCACTCGGCGACCTTCCGCCCCCGCTCACAAAGCCGAATTGGCGCTGCACAGCACGCCCAAAAAATTACCTCTGCTAAAATGAGCCCGATCTGTCGAAATTGGTGGCAGAATTCGAATTACGGGAGTATTAACTTTTCATAACTACGCTTTGATCCGAAAGACGATAGCTTGAAAAGGACTCTAAGTTGTGAGGATAAAGGCGACATGATATGGAACAAAACATCAAGGATTAAACTCTCAAACTACAGTTTTAAACCAATTACTCATACAAGAAAAGCCAAAGGAGATCGATGACGGTAATGACAGGAGAGTGCGGGGGGAGAGTGCCATCCATTCCTCCCGAAATCACATTCCCGCCAAGCCCGAAATTCGATCTAATTTGCTGTCTGTCGCCATCACCTTGTCTCTCCCACCATCCGAACCGTTACTAACAACAGTCCCACCCACGTAATGGAGGAAATCGGTCGCATAGATAGGGGGAGCGTGAGGGAATGTTTCAATTTTTTGGAAGGGTTTCTCTTGGCTTGAATAGGGGGTATGTTTGGATCTGATTTGCATAAATGAAAAGGAGAACGAAAAGGGAGGTTGATAACGTTCCGATGTCGTGTTAACCTGACGTCACAACCCCTTTAATGGGATTCAGAAATTTACCATACGATAAAGGGGAAGATCGGCTTCCAATACTGTCTGTCCTTTTATCAGAATTCTTTAAGTATTCATATATGTCACCTTTTTCAAAATACTGCATTTTGCACATTACTATATGTAATTTTAAGGTCAAGCCTCCCCGGAATGTGTGACCTCCGGCTAGCCGAGTATCTGCTCTCCCCCCATCGCTCAGTTTTTATCAATCGTGAAGACAGAAGGACAGCCCCGTCGAGCCACTCTCCAAACTACACTCCACCCCCACTCTCTTTTCATTAATTGATTACTGCAAGCCCTCTCCGTTTTCCTTGACCATTATATTCCGCTAACCCTACGCTAAACCGAAAAAATGGCTGAACTCCGTGGCGCTTTCCAAAGCCATAATAGTAATAAAGTCGGGGATCAGCCTTCGATATTCGATGTGATGTCTCAGGAGAGTTTGATGAAGTCTTTAAAGCCTGCGATGAGACATTTGGTCAAGGTAATTGCATATTTCATTATTTGACGTGTTTTTAGTACCTAGCCATGGTCAGCCCCAGCCGTTTCTCCACAGCCAGCAAATGGTATGATGAGCTCTACACCCTATTTGACTTATGGCTTCAAAATCATTTCTTGAAGAAATATGGTAATTGTCGTCAGTACGATTCTTCTACGAAAAAAATATTCAGGCGCATCATTCTCTGAGAATTTCTACGGGATGAAGCGCATTTTCCAGAAAACGGGCACAATGCCGATGGCCGGGTTGAGCAAAATTCGTTCACTTTTTATTTTGGTAAGTTCAAGAAACTAATTCACCATTTCTTTAAGGTACTTTGGCCTTATCTGCGTGACAAAATGGATCAGCTGCATGACGATTTGAAGGTTCGATTAGCCTACATGAGCCAAGCAGCAAAGGTCGGAACTTATTAGCTGAATTCAATTACGCCATGTATTTCAGGACAGCAATCTAAAGCTACGACTGGCGAATTTGTTTGTGAAATACTATCCTTGGTTGAAGACAATTATCAGCACAGCTACGGTACTGCTGCAGACCGCTTATATAATCAATAGGTCAGTACAGGCTTCTTGGTTAATCGAATCAGCATTTAAATCTGAAATACATATAAAAATATGATTTATAGATGCTTCATCCATTCTCCATTCCTCTGGGCGGCCGGAGTCCGACTTGAACGGTTGACACCAAATGACTTGGCAGCTTTTGATGGTATCCCGGCACATCTACAACCAACAAAGTAAGTCGTAAAATTAAGGTTAGATAGTTTTTAGCTTCTTGCAACGTATGTGGCGTTGGTTCTTGGGACTTCCTGGAGTTGTATCCCGGCTTTTCGGCTACGGGCTCTTCTTTGTCCAATTTGTGGACTTTATGTACAATTCTGACGTTGGGAGTCAGCTGACGAAGAAGAATACGGGTTACAAGGTCCCGCCAGCACCACATAAGGTAAATTAACACAATCTATATAACCGTTTTCTATAGCTGTTGATAAATGAGGAGAACATCGGCACCTTGGAAACTCACAAATGTCCTCTTTGCCTGAAAAAACGAGTGAACAGCACCGCCCTTTCAACCTCAGGTACATCCACAATTCTCAAATTTACCTTCCTTTAGGATACGTTTTCTGCTACACATGCATCGACACATACCTAAAACAATACGGCCAGTGTCCCATCACACATGTACCTGCCGATACAAAGCAGCTAATTAGGCTCTACCATTAAAACCGATGCCCTTTTCATGCCGTTCTTGGATCTCAAAATAAATCTCAAAAAGCATTTACCACATTGCACTATTCACAACTTTTGAAGCAAATATTGGGCAAAGACATAACATTATGAGATTCGTCAGCATCCCTCTCTTCTGCTCGGCCGACTGGTGTGTACAGGCTGTGTCTTTTGTTGGTGAGCTCGGATTATTCACTGGTTGTCTCTGCCGAAGATGGGCCCGGCTTCGAAATGGGCCGGCAATCGGCGGGGGAGTCATTGATTTTTGTGGGTGATTATTAGTTTTCGAGGGGTCGGGTTGTAGCATTTTGGGCGATGGTAACGTTTTTAGGCTGGAGTTTAGCTCGAGCTCTTTTTCTTTAGCCCCTTTTGTTCAGAACGAGTCGTTTTTAGGTGATGATACTGGAAATCTCGTTTGGTTTTTGGCATAGCTCACGGGAAGTTCTAAACCGATCCCAGTTTGCAAAAAATCGGTGAACGAGTATGCTTTTTGTGATGTTATTTGTTCTGAAGAGCGATTTTCGACGATTGGTGTACTTTACACACCTGTAGATGAACAGGGAGCCGGGATACAAAAGTTGGGTGCCGGCTGGGGGGGGGCGAACTGCACTCTAACCCATAATTTCATGGAAATGCGGGTTTTCCCAAATTTAAAGTACTACTAAATGTGATATATTGGTTTCCCGATTGTTTTACCTGGGAATTTTTCGAAATTTCCCCAAAAGATGATCAAGCCTCCTCCCCCCATCCCATTCCCACGACCAACCCCAGTTTTTTATCAAGCTACCCTTCACCCCCTGATTCACCTCCTTCCCTCCATTACCCTTCTACAGCTCTAAAATGGATGCCCCCGAGCGCTTCGATTTGAATATTTGTCTTTGGCCGATCCAATAATGCCACGGTTCCTCTTCTTCTTCACCCAACCCTCCTACCCTGCCGTTCCCAGCCTCAACGCAAAGTGCGCACTTTATTGGCACCGAAAGAGCAAAGTCAACTAGACATCCACCCGTCCGGGAATTTCGCCCGGCACTTTCGAAGCTGGGCATTTGGGTTTTGGATTTGGCCTTCTCTTACTATTTAAATTTGATCAGCTGTGAAAATTCCTAAAATGCATTTCCCCATAGGTATTTTTTTTGCTCCACGTTCAACGTGCTAGTATCATTAAATTTCTACACCGATTTTCAGCCGAGTTTTGAAAAAACCTTTCTAAATTTTTGCTGCAAAGTTGCTGCAATTTAGAAACTCAAAAGCTGGTTAAGGTTTCGCACCTAATGGCATACAAAACATATCCCTAATTTCTTTGGTGCGAGGTGCCTCCCGGCAATACTTTTTAGATGTGAAATTATACTTTTTAGACGAAGGAGCTTCTATTTTTTCGAGGTCCTAGAAACGACTTAGATTAAGGAATATACTATTGCTCCAGATAGTCCGCCTAGGTTAACCCATCCCGATACTGTCTCCCACATCAAACCCTTCCCCGAACATGGGTCGAAGATTTGTGGTTGGGAATTTGCGGGTGCCCGGCAGCCATTCTCAGGTCAGATAGCCATGAGCACAACCATGTCCCGGTGATGATGGCCGTGTCACACCTTCTCCTCCCCTCTCTTCATCCTTGGTAGATGGTGGCTCCGCGCGCCCGTAGGGGGTATCATTTCGGAAAGTGGTGAAGAGGCTGTAAAAGGGGATCCCCCTTCGTCCATCTACGGCCCATTGCCCCCGGATTTGTTTGATCAAGTGCGTGAATGAACGTAGCCTCCCCCACCACACACCCTGCTACCCATCCACTATCGGCTACCATACACACCCTATGGACACCTGCTAGTCTGATCTTGGGAGCAAGGATTATTTCTTAAATGCATTCCTTTCAGATGATTTTGTGGTTTTCGATGTCATATGGCTCATTCTATTGAGCCTATACATTTCATCACATTGTTTAAACAAACGAAAATTTCTGGACGATTACGGTCTCCGCGTAATTTGCTCTGAAAGGGTCGTTTTTGACATTTTTGGCCCCGCGCTTCCTAAAAATGTGAAGGTTGACAAGCCCTTTGATCAAATATGGCTGTAATTCAAGATTTTTTAAAGATGGACGCTGTTTAGAATTTCAAGCTCTATCGATCGAGCTGGCTCACCTAACGCAATGTTACTTAAAAATACTGCGGAAAAGAGGCAACCTATTTTGCTCGTTTAGCCTTGACAGTTTCTATAGCACCTATCCCCTCCTCAAATCCAAATAATCCCAATTTCCGGTTCGCCTCGCTAATCTAGGTTTAACGCGTTTAAACGGAGACCACAATTCTCTAGCCACATTTTTCAGTGGATTTTGCTTTGTTCTTACGCCTCAGTTGCCTTGAAAAAATTAATATCAATTAATTCTTAGGCGCTTTTAGAAACACCTTCAATTTGTATTGGTTTCACTAATTTACTGCCTCCTACGGGCCGCTATGGAAATCGACGGGTTAGCCAAAGACCTTTACAATTATTCTTTTATCAGGTTGGTTCCTGGGTAAGATCTCAACCGGTTTTTAGGGAAAAATTAAATGTACTCGTTGAAGAACGAAAGACGCTTACCGAAACGGCTCTCGATTGGAAGAAGGGCAAGAATTTTATGGAAGAATGTCGTAGGGTTTTGACGGAGCTGGAAGAAGAAAGGAAAGGGCACGCAGAACAGCTGCGCCAAATTAACCAGGTACAAATTTATTCGGTTCTTAGATACTAATTTTTGTGAGGTGAGCAAAAAGCAATTACAGGATATCAACCTACTAGAAGATATTATGAAAAGTATGCAAACAACAGCCAACACCAATAAAGCAGATCTCTGCGTAAAAGCTGAATATTTACAGCGAACTATGCAAATGATCAACCAACTGATTGGGGTAAGAGCTTTTTCATTAGCAAACATCAAAATTGTAGAACACAGGAGACGCCGATTTGCTCCCACTAACTATGGAAGAAGATAAAAATACTGAACTCAAACAATTGTAAGTTTTAAATAAACTGTTTAAATTTCCTTAGTCTAAAACCCCTGAATCTACCTCTCATGCCTCCACAAATTATCCCCGGTGGCCTGTTTCCACCATTTCCCATTCGGTTCCCGATCAATTTTCCGCCGCCAGCCTTGATGACGAACCATGAGAGTAAGATGAAGGTATGTTTTTCATCGTCCATACAGCACCAAAAAATATCGAGGGATTAATCGTGGTTTTAGACATGCGAAACCTGCGGTGGCCGAATCCACCGAAACGCCCCCACCTGCCCTCTATGCAAAAATCGTACGGGAAGCCGGAACCCAAAGCGAAAACGGAAAGAGCCTTTCACCGCCGAGCCCCTCGAAAACTGATGCCACTATTTTCTGATCGTGCGCACTTTTGATTGCGAAGCCAGATTCGCGTTTGCCCGAATGCGTTCTTTGCAATTTCCTATCCTTACGTGTCGATATAACTGGATTTTCGTGTTCTTGCTCTAAAATTTAAATAAAAAATACTAAGTAATGCCATTCACGCGCTGCTTTCTGCCAAAACAAGGATATTATCTAATTTTCATTTTTGTAGCCTAACTCGGCATTGGGTTTGAATATCGCCCGAACGTGATACCCAAATTTCAAGGGCAATTGTCATGACGAGGAAATTGCGTTTGAAAATTCGATGGGGTGCGATGAAGAGTTCTCGAGTGTTTGGGAAGGCCCTTTTTCGGGATTTGGGCCCCTTCCCGGCGCCTCCCATAATCCAATCTTTCCGGCATCGTTGCCGCTGCACTCCGTTGGACCAAGTTGTCAGGATGTGACATTCGATGTTTGCATTCGCTACTTGCAATTGTAACATATATAATATTTAAAGGAATCTCATTAATTTGCATATGTGCGATTTTTTGAAGCTGGCCTACGATTTTTTGATCTTAAAGATCCTCTATGGTCAGCGCAGATTTGGTGTATATATTGAGGCAAGGTATCGAACATGAGGAAATTGAGCTCCTGTAAATATAGATTATGTGGTAGCAATTAACTATAATAATTTTGCTGTGTGTCTGTGTGAGGCCGAATTGAACTCGAAGGGGAAATGAGCTAGAGCTTAGCTCTCTTCGGATTCGGATAGAGGATTCGATCCGAAACCCCCACACTGCTAAAAAATTATGACAAAGTTTCCGGTTAAATTATTAAATTTAACTTTGAAAGCGGCGCCTTAATAAAATGAGTGGAGAACGGACTTGCACGAATTCAGACATAGTGAGCCAGGTCGCGCGCGTTTCGGGGAAGGGCGGGAGCAGTGGGGGGGTAGCCCGAACTCCAGCCGCTTGCAGTGGCAAAGCCGCTGTAAGCGGCTGGTACCCTGATAATTATCATAGCTAAATCTGCTTTGCTCTTTCTATTCGAGAGCATGCGTAGTTTACATCGTGAACGCAGATTTAGTGGCTATGCCAAGAAAAAGTGCCCATTTTCTTGAGCTCTTCTTCTCTTCATCCCTTTGAGGTCTTTGTCTGACTGCCATGGGATGCTAACATGGCAGCGCATTCGCAATCAAAGACAGCAATTACTAAAACGGCCGGGGCGTCGAAGAGGGCCAAAGAATGGGCCACATCCGCCACAATCCCTCCACACAACACCCTCACAAAGTAAAAAGTCCTTTTGGGGCTGTCTTTTTGATTTTTCTTCAAAGGGTCGTGACATTGGCCTTGTTGGCAATTTTTTTGGGTGTTTTAAAAATATCCGAAATTCAAGTTTAAATATTTCGATTTTGCCTTAAAATCCGACCTTAAAAAGTGATATCCCAGAAAAAAAATTTAGCTTCAAATAGCCCCGCCAAAAGTCATTCCCTCCTTCCTTCTCCACTGACCCATTTGAGCCCAGCCTACCAAAATAAGCTCTAACAGCCACCCAATTCCATTTCTAGCCGCCGCCGCTTTGCAAAGTCAACCGAATGCGGAAGAATGCCCAGCTCGAAAACGTGGGAGCCCCTCTTGCCCTGCTCCTCTTTCCTCGAGCTTCAGATTTCGTGCCAAGCATCCTTAATTAGGAAAAGAAGAACTATCAGGGCAGGCGGCCCCGCGTCTTTTGCCCCCGCCCAAAAACTCCCTTTCCCATGCATCCGAGAACATGCTTTTCCTGAGGTCATCCCATTTCAAATCCTGCTGCTGATAGTGTTCAATGAGTACATGCCCTGCAGCTGAAACTATTTGCAAAATTAGTTTTTATACACCGCTGCTCGCAGCAGTGGTTCATGTAGTCATTAAATTTTCGGCGCTTAGATCTGACGCATCGGCGCTGAATTGAATTTTGGTATAGCTCGATTCCTTCGCCGATCCCGGAAGGGTTTTTGTATAAAACATGTTAGGTGCAATGATTTCTTGCATGGGGGATTCCCGATCCGGGATTCAAGGGATTAACTGACGTTTCTCATTATTTATATTCAAGGGCGGCTGGTTCAAACAAAGCCTAGGGCCCTGAATAGAGGGGTAAAATGGGTTTCGGGGAGAGCGGGTTATTTTTCCTCGATTCATGTGTTTTGTTGCGTCATATTAGATGTAATAAGGTTTTAGAAGAAACGCAAAGACCACAATAAAAACTACACCAGACGGTTGGAGTATTTTATGAACTGTGGTGAGGGTCTACCTAATGAGGCACTAATGGTAAGGATTTTAATTTTAAAGTTAGGGAAATTTTTAGACAGAGGAAACCACAACGCAGCCAGTCGCAGACCAGTCTGTTTACGGGTTGATTGTACTTTTTGGTTATATTCCTACTATTCGCTACACTAACTTCCGGCCTACTCGTTTGTCTAACCAAGATTTGGTGTGGATTTAAAGGGCGGGAAAATCGATCTGGGAAATTGACTGATGTAGGTTTGCGAAATCTTTAAAAAATTGCATATTTCGGTGCAAAGTAAAGCATCTTGTTTCAGAGAGAACGTAACGATATACTACACTCTCCGTCGTTCCGACACTCCGATATAAGTGATAGTGAGGACGAGAGCGCGTGTAATAATACGCTACACGCTCATACAAAAGATATATGTGAGTTTAAAACACTTAAGTAGATGATAATAAAAATTATTTTGCAGGGCGGTAAGCGTTAAAACCGCCTAGAGTAAATCAGGTAGCAGATCAAAAGTAGGGGCGCGCTATCACCGAGATAAATTTGAGGAAATTAAACTCCCATTAAAGCGGGTTCCCGACGCCCATCGGCTCGCAGCATTCGGAGCTGCCGAAGTGCTCGGCGTCCGTCGAATCGATCGTATATTGTCAGGGCCCAGAGCAAGCGCAAGAGCATCCAGCGGGAGTGCCGAGTGTGATCGTGGCCCTCAGCTCGGCCTGACAATTCCGAAAAAAGAATGCCCCATGTGGAAAGTCGCGTTCACCGTAGTCAAATTCAAGACATGCCCGCTTCTTTCCGATTCTTTCGAATGCGTCTTTTTCGTATTTTCTTGTTGGAAAACCGTCGCCGTGTTGTCAAGGGAATGCCGAAATGGTGGAAATCTTGAACGGATCGGGAAAATGGCAAACGAAAAACAAAAAACTGATTTTGAATGAATCACATTTGATTGAACGGAAAAGTTAGGTAGAGATCTTGATACTTTCAGTGCAGTGCAGTGAAATCTTTATTTTTATTTGAAAGTTTGTCTTTTCCTCGTCTACCGTTAGTGGTGAAGCAGTGCACAAGAAATAGAACTTCCCTCGTTTTTTAGTAGGTGCTAACCCGTTTGCCGTTTTGCCTTTCCGATTTGAGTAGATACCCAATAACTCTCGATTTTTAGCAAATCGTGTGATGGATCTCGTCAATCGATCACTTGCCTCAAAATCTACAACAGTGGTAAGTTAGCTGGGTCGATATTGGTGAAGCCTTAGTTACCTTAACTTTTCAGCCAAGCAAGCAGTTCTCCATACTAACACTTTGTGAGAATTTTTTAAGTTTTTGCACATACACTTTTCAAATGCTCCTTTCACCTGGACTTTAAAGAATTAAATGTTGGAAATCGACCAGAAATTTATCAGAATTTCACAATTGCAAAGCACAAAACACTTTTAATTTTGCAAGGATTAGATACTTGTTGTTTAGTTTCTTTTTCAGGAAGACCTTCAATCAAACGGCGCAGTGGGATGTGCAGCTACATATGCAGGCGGTGAAGCGATAGCCGCATGTGGCCAGTCGGAAATAGCCCCAATGCCCCCGCCACCTCCCTTGTTAATCCCATCCCATACAGAGATTCTGAATAGATGTATGCCTAGTCCAAACCAAAAGACCAGCTTTTTTGTACCGGTACATGATCCTACTACTGTTGTCCATGTTTAGAAATTTCATTTGTGACGTATCAATTTGATCGATAAAAACTTTAAAAATATATTGACCAGGTTTCTAATAGATCGGGTTTTTTTTCAAAAATGTCGTGCTCAATGTGTTCTGAGCCCAATTTATTAATAAGACAATCAAAGACGTAAAGCATTTACGGGGGGTGGGTGGGTTGAATTTTCGATAGCAACGCGTCAGGGAAAACCCAATTCCTAATAGCACCTGTCCCCTTCCCGCTCCAATTTACCGTGTCTTAATTAATACCCGTCTTCAAGAAGAATCATCGCTTCTTTAACCAAAAACACCTGTCGATCTAAGCATATGATTTTCTCGCTAAAGACTGGCATCGCAATACTTGCCATTCCAAATTTCAGAAGCATCACCATGGCTACGGGCCCATGGGCATAGGCTTACCCACTTATTTTCCCCTCCACCCGAATAACCCCCGGTTTTATTGGGTATACTACACCTCTACACCCACCTGCCTCCCAACCGTAGCTTCTCAATTCTGTGGGATGCCCACAATCAAATGGCGAAAAACTATCAGATGGAAGACCAAAAACCTGGCACTTCTAATGGAAACCCGGCGGCTAACCATTGTTAGTTCATATTTTTGAAATATATAGTTTTAGTTACACAAGAGAATGATCATACTTGGACATTAATTCCTACCCATCACCTAAAGTAAGTGTTCACAGTTCTTTTATGAATTCGTTACAGCCATAAAGTTACAAGGATCACATCTTTTGGCCAATTCTCAATACCTGACTATGGGCATCTCGGTCGACATTTACCGAACGATACTTTGTCCATATTAGCTTTGACATGGAATTTAAATGAGAAGGTATAGAAATTATTAAAGATTATCCAATTGTCCAAATTAAGCAAGCGCCGATCCTTGATACTATGACCAAATTTTTCGCCTTTCGTCGTAATGATGGCCTAGAAGACATTATTGCAGTTGGACTGCAAGAAATACGTCCCCAGATACGGTGCTTACAAAATATACATTAATTAAAATATTTTAGAACGTTCCACGAGCTCGCATTGGAACGATTCTCTTCTGTTTTAATTCCAACTCATCATGTATATTTCTCGGTTCGATTTTGGAGTCAAATGATGATGATTGCTATTAAAAAGGAACATATTCCTTACGCGCTTGGTGGGTTATAAATATTTTGAGTATTGGTATATTCGACACTTTAGATTTCCCTGATGCTCAATTTATTCCCTCTAATGCTGTTGCGAAACCGGTGCGCACAAAAGGGTCTATTGGTGTGGCCTTTAAAATTTATCAAAGAACTATTGTGTTAGTGTCCAGCCATTTCTCTCGTGAGTCATTTTCACTTTTTCGAGAAATATACCTCCACCTTCAGACGGTTCAATTTCCCAGCGTTGGGCCGATTACAACAAAGCTGTCCGGAAATTCAATTTTCGAACAATTTCCCTGCAGAACAAAGGCAACGGATCGCTATTAAATGCTGATGTAAGTGAATCGTGGCATTCAAAACCATGATATTAACTAGGCCGTCGTCTGGATGGGCGATTTGAATTTTCGAGTACCTGGTGGAACATCCATGATCCCACACCCAAACCGAACGGTCGCTTTTGGGGTCGACATCCGCAACTATCTCTCCAAAGACGAGTTGCTCGTCTACAAATCGCGAGGTCCGTTTGTTGCTAAGTGCTTCCAGAAGCGGAACACCTAGCGACCCGCCAGTTTCCATTAAATTTCACTTTCAGCCATCGTCTTCGGCGGATTCAGGGAGGCTGAAATCACATTTCCACCTACTTACAAACTGGTGCCCGGTCTATGCGTATACGATAAGAAGCGTCAACCATCTTACACGGCACGAAATCAGCAACAAATCAGCAACCTCAAATTTAGGATCGTATTCTTTGCTTTTCCTCCGATCCACTTGTCATCGAGCCGTTCGAATACGATTCTGCCGATTGCCTAGTGGATTCTGATCATCGCTACGTGTACGGCACGTTTCGGTTGTTAGTCCTGAAGAAACAATATAGGCGCGGCGAATCGGAGGTAAGTTATAACTAGAGCTATAAATCTTTTTCGGCACAGCAATTGCAACGGGCTCGCAGCACTCCACATATAACGCACGAATTGGCGGAAAAGAATCTCGGGAACGGGATAGAGTCGACCCAATATTCGCTACAGTTACTGTTGAATCCAGCAACATCGAGGAGTGCGGGTGTGGTAATGCAGCCTATCGATGAGCCCGAACAAAGCAAGCCGGGGTCTGCACAATCTGGACCAGGCCATGCAAATGAGGGACACCAGGTAGGCCTTTCAATCCCATTATAAGCTTGTTAACATTAAATTTTAGCTTCCACCGATCATCGTTCAACCCACCGACCCCTATGCCACCGACAGCATCGAAAAACGTCGTAAAAGTCTCGAAAATCGTCGTCACTCAATCCCACACGTCACCACAATTTCCGGGGCAACCCGCCCAAAGGGAAATGATCAAAAACAGCAGTAGCTTCTCTCAGATAAAGCCATTCCAGTGTTCACATCACTCGATTTCCTCTCTCAACCCGTCTCTCCCTACCTTGACAGTTGCTGTTCGTCCCCTAAATGATTTATTCGTGTTCGCAGGGCTCAACACACACGAAAAAGCGTCCCAATCCATCCCGCTTGCACACATTGAATTCCGGTTTGTGATATGTACGCCAATTATAGAGCTTTAATAAAATTATTTAGCCATTTATAGTTTACACTTTGCAATCGTGTGTTTAGGGCAAGCTTTTGGGTTGGGCGTTTGTCAAATTCGACAGGTGGTTCCTCATTTTGTCGCCGGCATGCCTGGGGAGGGCCCAAGTTTTTCCAGACACAGTTGGTGGCTTTCGATGGGTGAACATGCTGTTTTCTTGGCGGTCATCTGACAAGAAAAGATTTTCGTTGCCGGGCGGGCCATCACTCTTGGCCGAGTTCCCGGTGGGCCCGAGATCGGCTCGATTTGACGTGATCTCGACATTCCAGTCGGTTTGGGCTGTTTCTGTACTTTAGGGATTTCAATCGGCTTGTGCCCTAACGTTTTCTAAATCCTGGATGTCGGATGGTGCTTCGCCCAAACGTTCGCTATTTCACCGGAATTGATAAGGATCTAACGGATCCAATTGCACAGTAATGAACGGCCTAGTATTCCTTTCCAATTCGGAAGGATTATTGCTTTGAAAGATAACTTTCGCTTCTAAAATTCGTTCTAACTTTCTTTCTGATCGCAAATAACTGTCACATAATCTTTTTTTCTAGACTTTTGGGTGTTTTTAGATGCAACGCCCAAGTGTGTTCTTATCCGTTGACTTTGATTTACCCCGAATGCGAAGTGTAACAAGCGAATGTTCTCAGCAAGACAATAATTTTGAGGTTTGCCCTTTCACGGCGATTTAAACCCCAATTATGTTTCTAGGAGTTCAATTCAAAATATACATTCATCGACCGATGGGCGGCTGACCAACAAAAGCGGCATGCCAAGGATATTGTCGCGCGGCACCAGCAAATTGTTTCGAAGGTAGGGAAATTCCCTAGATCACCCAATATATTCTTAGAAGCCGCAGCAAAAGCCCAAAACTTTGAAGAGGAATGAGAAAAACATTCAAATACTGCGTGAGAAAATGGCGATAAAAACGGCAAGCTTGGAGGTGAGCAATGTTGCTTTTTCTTTATATGAAAAACTATAGCTGAAAGGCACTAGCGAAGAGCCCGAACAAGATTCCGATTTTGAGGATAAAGAATTGTAGGTTCTGTTCTCTATCCCATAATTTCCTCTCTAGAGTTTTTCTATTCCAAACAAAACTGGGAATTGATGTTTATGGGGAGCTGCCGCCATAGCCGTTTCGGTGTTCGATTTCTCCGTTGCTGATCTCATATATGTATATAAATCTTTATGCTTTGAGCAATTTAAACAAGGCAAAACAATAACAGGAAAGAGTCACCCAGGGGAGAAAAAAGGAGAGCCAACGAAAATTCTGTTCAAAGCTGCTGAAAGATGTGTGTATTTTTGGGGGAAGGGGATGATGCATAAAAAAGAATACGGTAATTCATGTCAATCACCGGTAATAGATTTGGGGGAGACTGTCAAAAAGCACTGAACAGGCGGGGGGTTAAACCGTAATAAGAAGGCTGGAAGATGGGGGAGAGAGTAAAATTTTAGAAAAGTAAAAAGTAGAATACTTTATCAAACTCCCCTAAAGTAAGGCATATCACAAGAAGGGCACAATCTGTTTTTAGAAGCTCTGCTTATATTGGAAGGCTCTTGGATACCATTATTACCAACCTAAGAAAGGCACAAAGATATAGACAAAGAGGGGGATGTAGACAAGGCAACGGAATGTGGCACACTAGAGACGAAGTTGTGGATGAACCCGTGGATGGATGCCAATTTGACTATTATATCTAAGGATTGGGTTTGAGGGGGGAATTTTCAAACTAACCACTCTACTTTAATTTGCCGGTTGGGCGGGGGGCAATTGGGCCTCCTGTCGATTTGGATCGGCGGCTGGCTCGGTGTCTTCACTTTTTGAGTCTTCTTCGGCTTGTGTGTCTTCGACTTCGTGATTATGGTAGTCGTTAACGACCATTGCCGATGCAGGCACTTTTTTTAGGCATCCATCAATCGCCATCATTACTAAAAACGAGTTTTTAGTTAGAGGAATTAAAACTAAAATGTGTCATCGATGTGCTGTAAATACTTGTCTACACCTACCATCGTGTAACCTTCGCTCCAATGCCGGATAATGCTTAAACGCAAGAATCGGATGCGCCGGATCTCGTGACAACGAATCGTGCAGAGATTTTGTCAACGACTGCGGCGTCGCGTAGAAGTTCAGCAACGTTTGAAGAGTCCGTGGCCGAATCAGGCAGCACTGCTTCAACGGCAGCAGAATATCATGGTCGTCAAAGTCTGTACGTCCGAACCTAGAAGAAAGCAATCCGGAATTCCGTCTTTGTGCTTACGCTCTGCCATTGTCTAGATGAATTGCATATGATGGGATGTTTCCGAAGACATTGAATGATTCATAGTGATGCCGGTCTTGGTTGCCTAAAGAAAGAGTTGCTTGTTGTAAATATTTTATACCTATCAAATAATCCATAATATGAAGGTCGATTAGATCAACCAGTTTCCTTCCATGGGCGTACACCGGCTTAGACTTGACTTGTGTGGCGCAGTAGTCCATATTGGTTTGCCATTCAGCTAACTGATTTTTCTTGGAGTACGTGCGACGGTAAGGACTTCTGTTGTGCTTGCGGGGGACGGAGCCCTCATCGGGTAGGAAGACTTGAAGTGAACCCTCCTGAATTTATAAATACAAAGAAAATCATTCGAACGATACCTTCAAATCCGGTAGACCACAAATCGCATGCGTGGTATCGCAATAATAGTCACAGCGGGAGACGAAGCAGCGGTTTTTTGCTAAAGCGGCGGTTATTGCGGGAGAGGGAAACGAACCTGGTGAAATGAAAAATGTTTTCTTTAGCTTCTTTTCAGCATGGTCATAGAGTTCGCTGGTGATATTGACAATTCGTCCAACCGTTGGGACAGCCCTTCGGTAGCCCAGGATCCTGAAAGCGTCTGTAAATGAAAATGAGACTTTGTGACTCACTTATCAAGATGGAAAGTGGCGATTTCGGCATGGTGTCTTTCAAAGTCCGAAAAATAGAAATGGTTGACATCAGATTCATATTCACGGCCATATCGCATTGGCTTGAAGACGGCCTGTTTCCCATTTTCGAAGGTGAAGACAAGTTTGACCTAAAGGAGGGTTTGGTTTCCCTTAAATAAAATACCTGTGTGCCGCCGTCCATTATATGAACATTACGAATCGGCATTTTGTTCAAGTCACGAAGAAGGCCTTCCAAGACCTGGTCGTCTCGGTAGACTTCGCAACTGCTGATTTGAGAATAGAATCGCTCCCAAGAATCGGTGGCGGTGACGTGTCGGCTAAAATACGATAGTTTAAGACTGCTGTTGATGGCCTACCCTTCGGATTGTAACCAGAATTCTTTTAAGGTTACATTTGTCGGACACTCCTGTTTTGCCATGCCATCAAAGTCGACTCTTTTCACCGCTTCATATATCCTTTTCAAGACTGTTTGGTCATGAGGGGGTTGGAAATCTAGAAAATGGTGCAAGGATTTTGGTTAGGGCTTACCGAAAGGATCTCCATAGTCTTTTCTCAGCAGACTTGGCGGGTTCGGCTGCTTCTGGAAGGTCATCTGTTCGCCAGCTCCCTTTGGATAGACTCGTCCCCTTGGAGGGCCGCGCTTTTTGTCGTCATATGGCAATCTCGCTTCCGGCTTGGCCGCATTTGCGAATTGTGGGTCTTTGTCAAAATCTAATCCAGATTGTCATTTTCATTTCCTGAAGTCTTACCTGCTCCAACATATCCTTCACTTCGATCCCTCGGTAAGGATAGGATCACCAGGGTTGTGCAAAATACGACAAAGCACAGGACGAATATGCGCTTCAGGTTGAAGCGCATTTTGCGCACCCAGCTACGGGCGCCGAGCTGAAAATGTAGGATTACCGTTGCGATTAATCTTTAAACCTACAAGTGGACTCGTCCTGCCCCCGATCGTGATATATTTTTGAGGGAGTACTTCAATTCAGAAAATCGGGTTGATAGTTGAATTGAAGTTTAGTGGGCGTCTATGACATTGCAGGAAGGCGAGCTGAAAGAATAAACAAGTAGTTTAATTTTTGACAGATATAATGGAGAACACCAATCTAGCGGAAGAGTTGTGTGTAGCTTTCCGGAATCGGGGAATGCCCCGGTTTGGGCAGCAGAACGTAAAAAGTATCCGCTTGCCGGGGGGCAGAGCCCTTGAATTAGCGGGGCGAGTGTCTTAGAAAGGAAACCAATCCAAACCACGTAAGCTGGGTGGGGGGAGGCCCTCAAATTCGATAAGTTGGCCAATCCAGGATGTGAGATACAGGGAGGGGCCCAGGGGTCCAAGGCTTTCCAGCAAACACCCTCCGTCCCATCCAGGGCCACCGGCAATTTGCTCGGATTATCGCTGGATCCCCCAGGGAGCCGTGGGCGATCCAGGATTGTCATGGTGGATAAATATGGGTTAAAATAAAAATAAAATTCTTTAGAAAATTTGTAGGGCAAAATGGTTTTACGAAATGAATGAAATATCGGGCTTTTGGATTAAGCGGAAGGGCGTAGTGGGTAATTTCTGGGCTTACGGAAACGCCAAAGAAGCTCGTAAAATTAATGGATTCAATAAATTTTATTGGCGGCTGTAGGCGATGCTCGTAGGGGGACTATTTTATTTCTAGAAAATTAAACGCGCGGTTTTGTAAAAGCTGCTCCAGCCTAGATTTTTTCAATATCAATTCAAACAGCATAAAAGTCGAAAATCCAAAGTCCAGCCCCGGAAATCAATTTTGTCGCCCTAACAGCTCAACATAATGCAACCGAAAAATCGGGTGCCCAGGCGTGATTCGAATGGGACTGTCGAACGAGGTGGGGGTTTACACGGCCCCTCTTTTTGTTGAGCGAGTCCGGCCGATAACCACTCCCGGAGAGCTGGTCGCGACGAGTGAAATCGGAAATTCCAATCACAACAAATCCCCCTGGGCTCTCCGGAGCGCAGGATAATGTCGAAGAGGAGATATCGGACAATGCCGGAAGTAAAAAAATGGAGAAATCGGAATTGAGATTATTTATATGTCTGATCCGACATTTGGAACCCGCAGTAATGGGGGGGGGGGAAGATAAAATCAGGTGTATTCACCAAAATATGTAGAAGAATAGGCAAGAGATGTATTAGAGTGAAACGCTTACATGTTGGGGTGTGTGCTGTGGCTAATTTCCGGAAGAAATTGGTATTTACGGAACTTAATGTGCGATGATCAGATCAGTTGTGAGGCGCAATTAAATTACGGACAGCCGAAATAGACTTGCCTTTTTTGAAAACGAAGGAGCCATGTTTCAAATGACATACTTTTACTAGTCCAGATTTTGAGAAGCTAATTTCAAAAGCTAGAAATCCAGCCTCGGCTAAAGCAGCTCCATTACGGCCGTAAAAGCCAGGACCGTAAGTGTGAATAAATAAAAGCGCCGGCGGGCAGGGTCTTTTCAAAGAGGGAAAAGGTAACGGTAGGGGGTAGTGGTGACTATGGCTGGCAAAAAGGCAAAGAGGCTGGAGAACCAGTTGTGGTTGGTAGGGGAGGGGGCACCCCCGAGCTACTGCCAGGGCTCATTTGAACACGATATGCCCTCCCGCATTACCCGCCATTATAGCATCTCCTCTTGAGCCTCTATTCTGTGAAAAGCTCCAACCTCTACCAGTTCCCCCCCTCATCCACACGCTACCGATACTAACGAGGTACCCGGGGCATCGCCCGTCACCCGACAACCTGGATGGGTGGTTTGGAACGGTTTTTGGAGGGTAACGACGATGAAGTAAGCCGGATTAGAGTGGCTGGTATAAACGAGGGGATAAATCATAGTTCCGCGTTCGAAAAAAATGGTTCGCGGAGTATCAGGCATCAAGCATGGACGGAAATGCTCAAATAAATAGTGCTAAACAAATAGAATTAAATGGAATAAAATCAATAATTAAGGCTAAGTGAAATCTATACAACAATAAAGGGTCGTCCTCAGTCGTGTCGACAAGGGTTGTGAGCGCATTATAACGTCCGCGTCCCCACTTTACAAAAGTACAACAAACAACTACGATTCGTTGACTCCCCCCCAGCGCTAAACCCAAATAACGAGCAACGGCGGTAGATGAGTCAGCTCGCCGAAATATTTCGGGAAGCGTAAGTTGCAACGCAAAGCAGGGAGACCATTCAAAAAGCGGAAATACCCAGTAGATTATAAATGTAAAACAAATTAAATAAGACCCTAGAATTTGGCATAAAATTATCAGCCAAAAATTAGTTTTTCATTTCGGTAGGCAAACCCACAAAACGGTTTGTCGCTAAAAAGATTCTATCGCCTAGTTTCGAACACACAATTGTCAACCCCTTTCCCCCCAGGTGACTAGCCGATGCATTGAGCAAAGGAAGGTAAAAAGTTGAAGGAAGAATGACATACACGAAACAATAGCCCACACACCCGCTCTTGCAGTCCCACTGGACTGTTGCGCGTGGATAGGAAAGGCGGCAGCAGACAAAAAAAGGGGGGTCCAGGCAAATGGCAAAACAAACAGCCTCTGATCCCCGAGAATGGATTGATGACCTTGTGTGCCAAAAAGAGGAGCGGCACAACACACGCTTCACTCAACCTCGACACCCGACCGCCACTCTCTGAATTGTTGTTTGTACAGGTATGGCAACACCATCGATTAGTACGTGCGCCCCGAGAGGTATTTGACGGTACCGAGGGGGAGGGTAGAGTAGAAAGGCATGTCAAACATTTGCTAATTTTATGGTTCTCCCGCCCGACACGCCCGGGCGGGCTCTCCTCTGAAAAAGCGGCGCCTTCCTCGAATCCGCCGTTCCAGTATTTTGGCTGGAAGCGAGACAAAATGTCTTATTCCGGGCAGGGCCGCATGGATTTGGATGTGGGTCCGGGATATTCAATTTGAAAAGCCAAAGTGTGGATCGAAAGCTTCTATAGTAAAGGCGGTACCAAAAATCGGGCAAAACCAAGTGGTCATGCCCTAAAGGCGGAACGGGCCGTAAAGCGTTTAGGCTAGAGGTAGGGGGTGAAAGGCAAGGTGTGTGTTCTCCCCCGCGTGTATGTGTGCTGGGACAATGTTCGTGGGGGTCCAAAAGGGTCGAGCGGTGAATAACTCCTCGGCAACCCCAATTTGCCAAATGGAAGCACCATCGGGTGGGGGGAGGGTTGCCCTGGGAGGAGTTGGCCCGTATCCGGGATTAAGCTTCTGCCATTTCTCGGGCGGTGACAGGTTTGTTGAATTATGAGGATTTGGATTTGCTAATTTTAGGGGATGATTAGTTGGCGTCAAACATAAAAAAGCTGCATTAATTTGTGCAAATTATCACCAACTTCACAAGCTAAAAAATTAGGCCAATCCGAACGAATTCTGAGATGAAGCGCAGTTACCAAGCAATTTGGTAAATTTCGCAAGGCCATCAACCATAAAACTGCTGGGATCCAGAAGTTTCTTTTACAATCAATCTCACAAAAATTAAAATGTCGCATAAACATAACCATACGTCTCATAATTCTAACAAGTTCTGCCGTGAGCGGCAAGCGCGGTTAGCAACAAAGTTTCTACATAAAAATCACGAAAATTCACCATATATACATTTTTAAAGAACTAGTAAAGCGCTTGTGAATTTGAATCGTAACATATTGTTAAGTCCACAGATCAAAAAACTTAGCAAAATCTACCCTAAATCTCAACGATCCCGTTGATCCCCTCCGATGATTTTTGGATCGAATCGAAAAGCCTCGAGTAGTTGAAAGACGGGAATGCGCGAGAGCTGTTGCCCTCCACACATTGATACGGTGCACACATCTTGACGGGAAGCGAGTCGGCCAAGGGGGTCTCCGAGGGGGGCAACACCCAACACCCAAAGAGCCTAGATGAGGCGACTCGTGAATGAGCCCTCAAGCCTTTCAGAAATCGAGGCCCGCGCCCGATCCGTTGGATGTGGTGGTGGTGGAGGGTCTCTGTTTGCACCCTACTCGTCAACTCTTGCCCTCTTTCTCGGTCTCCATTCTAGCCATCATACCCGCCACAGTTCGCACCAAGCCATGAGTGGGCACAACGCGCGGGATGCTCTGACACACGACTCCCTGGGCTCATAGGGTGGTTTGAGACCACGAGCGGGGCTAATGTGAGAAATCGTGCTATTGTATTACAAGGGGGGTAGCAGGATTAGATTGGGATTTAAAGCTTTGTAAAGCTCGGGACAACAAATTGTGCAGAGCGCGTACCTCACTCTCTCCCCTAACCTCTCCTCTAATAAAAATTCTCGTTCTCTTCTTCTTCTTTCTTTAAATCAAATAGATTTTTTACTTCAAAGCAAATGGCGAATAGATCCTTTATGCCTTTTCCTGGGATAATTTGAAGTTTAAAGCAGCTTCGACGCCGCGGAAAAATCAATGTAATTCTACTTTTACGGTACGGTATTTCGGTTCTTCCTTCTAAAAAACCCCGTCGACGCCATTGGAAAAATAGGAGCCCTGGGCTCATTTCAAGGAAGGGAACATCAAATTACTCTAGTGGAGATCACTAAAAAGGTTTTGCCTAGTCAAGCATAGTAACTTCCAGCTGTTTAGTGTAATGAAAACTGAGCCAGCCCTCCCCCCCTTCACAAAACAGCACATAAACCTCAAGTGTTTCGCTGATCCTACCGATCCCTATAGACACAAACAATAAATATATGTATATAGGGTATCCCCAGAGAGGCCCGAAAAGCCATAAAGCAACAAGCCGGCAAGGTTGGCGCGCAGGGAGGGCATTTGTGGTACAAAGAGGGGGGAGCATTCTCCCACACCCGCTCTAGACCAGTCCAAATCCGCCCGCCGGATCACCGGCCGGGGAGGATCATCTGCCAATGGGCCGTGCACGACTTCCACTCACAGTCGCTGTGGTCAAGACAAAAAATGACAAGCAGAAAGGGGACGTTGGGTCGACCATTGCAACAGACAAGCTAAACCTAAAGCCGCGAAAAACCTGACTGGGATTTCGGGGGGTCTGAAAGGGTGGAGGGTTGAGGAGTGCTCTGCTTTGATCACAGCCAATTTATGAGGCGCAACAGTGTCGGAGGTAAGGGAGGGGGTAGGGATGCACTTGAAAGTTGCTTTAGGGTTGTGTTTAGGAGCGATTATGACTGAACATGCGAATTCTGAAGAGTAATAATCGAGTAATAATAGTAAGCAATAATCGAGTTTATGACGGTGGCTTCAAGATAAAATTTCGGAAAAAGCCCGCCATTTGATTTTTTTATTGTCATTAATTGAAGAGACGGACCGGAAAAAGCATGAAAAGGAACGCATCAGCCCCTGCCAAAATTTCAATATTCTAGATTTCAAATACTGTAAATAAGCTTTTCGTCACAATGATCGTTTCTAAATAACTCCACATCTTCTCTGCATCACATCAGAACCAAAATACAGTTTCCTTT